GTTTTGTTTTTTAAGACAGGGTTTCTCTATGTAGCTCTGGCTGTCCCGGAACTTGCCCTATATACCAGGGTGTTCTTGAACTCAGACTTCTAAGTGCTGGGTTTAAAGACACATGCCACCACTATTGCCCAGGTGCAGCAAGTGCCTTAACAGCATGCCGAGCCATCTAACTCCAGCTCTCTTTTCTCTTGGGACTACTGTCCAGTCCTCAGTCCCTACTGTTAAGAGTACTGTGTGTGGTCTTGACAACTTTTGGCCTTCTCTGTGGTGTTTTGCAGTGGGACCTGCTACTGTTCTTACTCCGGGAGCTGGTAGAAAAGAATCTCATGGGACAGCTGGAGATAGAAGCCTGTTTGGGCAGCCTTAATGAGGCCCAGTGGCCAGGGGTAAGGAGTCTTAATCTCTTGTCTTATATGAAGAGAGAAAATGTCTCATTTGTCCTAAAGATTGCCTGTGTAGCCCAGGCTAACCACAAGCTTGCATTTCTTCTGCTTGCTGAGTGCTGGGATTTCCAGTTGTGGGCCCATCATAGCTGGCAGCTACATGCCAAGTGGTTCCAGTATTGGGTTTGATCTGTGTGGCTACTTTGCGAGACTCAGAAGACCAAAGGAGGATAATTGGAAAGCAGCACAGGCATAGTGAATATTCAGGACTTGAAAGTCAGGTTTCAGCTTATGTTTAAAATGTTCTTGTGATTGAGAGCAAAACAGTATCCATAAAATAAGATTAAGACTTTGTGCCTCAGCTTCCTGTCAGAATCCACTTTCCCTATTAGAACTTAAACCTTAGCTTGCTAGTCTGGGCAGTTTCTATTTTTTTTTCATAGAAGGCATTGGGTGAAATACCCGGGTTGTCAGTCTCTCCACTGTCTGTGAGAGCTTGTTTGGGACTTAACCTTTGTACTTGTTTCAGGACTTCTCAGAAGAATTATCAACACTATTTCGCTTGTTCTTAGCTGAGCCCCATCTGCTAGAACCCCAGCTAAGAGCTTGTGAACTTATGCAACCAACCCGTGGAACAGTGCTGGCCCAAAGCTAGGGCTGGGAAACAGCCCTCTTGGGCATGACTCCAGAACCTGCCTCCTGTGCCTCAGAAGGAGGCTCAAGAGCCCACTGCACGCCTTGCTGGGGCAAGAGTGGCCATACCTGTAATCAGGCTTACTGCTTCTAAGTGAAGGAAGTGTGTAGCTGCAGAGCATTCACAGACAAGGGCCTCAACACCTGAAGTCTAGAAGAAGGAGAATTGGATTCAGAGTCACAGTGGAAAAGCCTAGGCTCCAATCTTGGAGCAGAAGGAAGGCTGGCGTTTCTCGTTTGGATGCTAAATGAAATGCATGTGTGCTGGTCAGTGCATTTCAAGCCTCAAGTTGCTGCTATCCCAGCATTTCTTAAAACTTATTCTGAGAAATCTTGATAGGCAAAGGACTGCTTTACTTGAGAAAGTTAACAAAACATGGATTTGGAAGCCTACATTTTCTCACCTACAGAAGCTGGACTGTCACCCTACCCCCAAATATTGACAGCCTATTAATAAGGTAGGACACACCTATGTGAAACTTGGTCTCAGGTGGACCTTCACCTCTTTGCAGGGACTTAGTCCTCAGACCAAGCATGGCATAGAAAATTAGGGGTTTGGGGTCTTTTATAAATAAAACTTTTAACAAGGTCTTGATGGCTATTTTCCCCTGCTTTTATCCCCTTTCTTAAAGCAGGCCTTGTGCATTGCAGTGAGTGAACTGCCTTGTCTCTTCATGATGCTTGCATTCTTTGATGCTGAGACCCAGTCTTAGAGATACAATCTGCTATGAACTATTGCCATCTACTATCGACATATTCCCTGCTGCCTAGGCTGGCCCACATGGCTGGCAGCTTTGGTGATGTCTGTATTGTTGACTCTGGAATGTCTGATTTATCTCAGAACTTACTTTTGACCAAAAGCAGTCTTCTGGGTTATAGTTGTCAAGACCTCGTTTCTACAAATGGGCAGGTGATTTTTAAGAAATTATTTTTATTGCACTTAGCATGTCTGCACATAGGCTATGGCACACTTCTAGAGGTCGGAGAACTTCTTGGAGTCAGTTCTTCGATCCCAGGGCTTAAATTCAGGTCATCAGGCTTGGCACCAAGCCATTTTGATAGCCTCTGGAACCATTGATTTTAAGAAAGAAGACAGTATTTTGATAATGTGCTTTATCCCTAAAAAATAGTGGGCTTTTTGTTTTGGGAGTAAGACTTGGGCTTTAATGGAAGTATCAGAAGGTTCTCAGTGATAAATAAATCTTTTTTTTTTTTTTTTTTTGGTTTTTCGAGACAGGGTTTCTCTGCGGCTTTGGAGCCTGTCCTGGAACTAGCTCTGTAGACCAGGCTGGTCTCGAACTCACAGAGATCCGCCTGCCTCTGCCTCCCGAGTGCTGGGATTAAAGGCGTGCGCCACCAACGCCCGGCCGATAAATAAATCTTGAAGCCACATGTAAAATATTTGTATGCAGCATATCTTAGTTTGCTGCTGTCAAAAAGGCTTCTGACCTAAGGAAAGTTAAGCTTCTCTAAACTTAAACTCACTTACCCATTGGTGTATCATCTCCTTCCCTTAACTCTTTTATTAAAAAAAAAAAAAGATTTATTTATTTAATGTACATTGGGGTTTTCCCTGTACGTATGTCTATGTGAAGGTATTTGATCCCCTAGAACTGTAGTTACAGATAGTTGTGAACTGCCATGTGGATGCTGGGAATTGAACCTGGGTCCTTTGGAAGAGCAGCAAATGCTTTCAACTGCCAAACAGCCCCCGCTTAACTCCATAAAATGCTTGAGCATCAAAGTGTTTTTCCAGGTCAGGATTTGGCCCAGGGGCCTTGCCTCACACATTAACCACAAACTTAGACTGCTCAGTTCTGTCAGTACTGGTATCAAGCCTAGGGAATTACTCTACCACTGAGCTTCAAGCCCAATAGACAGTCATAAATTTTCTTTTTCTCTTTCTGTTCTTAAAGGTCAGTATTTTTTTTTTTTTTCGAGACAGGGTTTCTCTGTGGTTTTGGAGCCTGTTCTGGAACTAGGTCTTGTAGACCAGGCTGGTCTCGAACTCACAGAGATCCGCCTGCCTCTGCCTCCCGAGTGCTGGGATTAAAGGCGTGCGCCACCACCGCCCAGCTTAAAGGTCAGAATTATAAGGGTATGGTTGAACCACAGCCCTGCCCCAGAAAGCTGCGAGCCCTGGTAAAGGTGAGCAGTAGGCTAACAGCCAATTCTTATATTGTTTGGGAAAGCTTGCTGTTCAAATTGCAGGATTCAGCTATGAAGCAAGCCTTAAGGTACACACAGAGAAACTTGCTCAAACGACTGATGATAAAGACAGGCAGCTAATGAGCTGGCCGGGGGGACTAGTCATTCTCCTTTCTGTACATAAGTACTCTTTTTGGGGATGTCTGATTTATCTCAAAACTTCCTTCTAATCATAAGCAGTCTTCTGGGTTATAGTAGGTGATAATTGTATTGTGTGTTCTATGGACAGAACACCTGGGACTTTCTAGAGGTAAAAATACTCAGCTCCCAACCTGGGGTGATTCTCATGCTCTCCAAAACCTGACTTACCCTTTGTCTTTTGCAGTAGGATCAGTGCAGGTCCACAAATATGGAAATACACTGTGGTCAACCATTGCTTAATATATAATGGCATAGTTTTACAACTACATCTGTCTTCTTAAATAGATTCTTAGGGTTTTTTCCCCCTCCTGTATCCTTTAAATTTAAGTTATCTAGAGATGATTTAACTATGTATAAATAATTACAAGAAATTTTTGCTTGAACATCTTTTGATCTATGGTTAAATGGATGGATGTGGGACATGAAGTTACAGAGAGTTGACTCTGTGACAGATGGCTTACCATCTCATGCTAGATAGCCAACCTATTCCAATTCCTACAGTTGCTGAACTCATAGGAAATACCAGAACATGCATGTAAGCAGAAAATCTCAACTCTGGAACATAGGTAGATACGGCCATCATGACCCTCAAGGATCCCCCCCCCCCTTTTGGTTTTTCCAGATAGGGTTTTTATGTATAGCCCTGGCTGTCCTGGACCTTACTATGTAGACCAGGCTGGCCTCGAACTCACAGGTCCACCTGCCTCATGAGTGCTGTGATTTAAAGGTGTGTACCACGACTGCCTGGATATTTTTTGTTTTGTTTTGAACAAATATTTTGACTCTTTTTTGGTCAGTAGTCTCAGTAAGGCACTTATATGAAAAGAGGCAGAAGCAGAAACTAAGAATGGTGGCTCATTGTCTTTAGTTTAGGACTTGGAAGTTTCACAATATTCAATTGGTAATATAAATACTCTAAGGGATTAGAAAAACCTTGCAAAGAAGTATATCCTTTAGCCATTCTTATGTCTCCATAAGAGTACCCTTTTCCACCAAAGAGTTTGAGTGACAGAAATAGATGAGGTTTTTTGTTTGTTTTTTTGAGACAGGGTTTCTCCTGTATAGTCCTGGGTCTCCTGAACATAGCTCTGTAGACAGATAGACCTGCCTCTGCCTCTAGAATGCTGAGATTAGAGTGTACACCACCTTCCAGCACTAAAAGTAGTTTTTTATCCCTATCATTTCTGGAAGAACCTGGAACATCTTCAGTGTTCAGCCAGGCCAAGAGTTAAGATACAAGAAAACAATCCTTTTTCCATCCTCTCCTATTAGAACAATTAAACTCAGTACTTAAAGAGATGATTCAATACTTATTTTTTGTTGCTTGAGACAGGATCTCTTGTATCCCAGACTGGCACCTAAAGGTGATCTTGAACTTCTACCAGAGTGCTATAGGCATGTGCCACCACACCCTACTCAGTCAGTAGATTTATATAAAAAGTAGGTTCCAGGTGTGGTGGCTCATAATCCCAGCATTTGGGAGATTGAGGCATCGTGTTGGCATAGGGTCAAGGCCTACTAGAAATTAATCCTCTCCAAGACAGTCTGTTTGAAATCCCTCTTACCATGTCAGCAAACAGCATGTAGCTCTTCCTACCTGTTACTGGTCTTCAGGCCCCACAGTTGCCTCCCATTGTACTGAGCTCAAGGTAGACTAACTGTACCAGTAACACAGAGTGACCCAGTATTAGTAGGGTGTGCGTGCGTAGGTAAATACGAATAGTAAAGCATTTGTAAACACTCGGTGAGAAAAAAACAATTCTGAATCAGACTTTGGTTTGTGCAGTTGATTCTTTAAACTGGTTTGAGCCTTTCTGTCACTCCATCACAAAATGGAGATGAATGTTGGAGGCAGATTCAGGGCACCCTTGGCTAGTGCTTGCCTACCAAGGAGGCACCTTGCCAAGGCACTGCAGTCCCCAGCTCTACAGGCTATACCTTTTCCAGTCTTTGGTGTGTTGTTGAGTCCCAGAGGCAGGAAATAAAGGTGAGAAATCGAGTTTCATTGGACAGGCAGGGCCAGGAAATTTAGGTTGCTCACTCTTCAGAGGTAACCAAGTACTAAATACTGATTTTGCTGGCAATGCTGGGCTGATGCCATTTGTATAGTTGGCTACCACAGGCAGCCTGGGCTTCTCTTACCTCAGGGTATAGAAGCAGCTATGGAGTCTCAGGTGTTCTGGGCCTACATCTCAGCAGCTATCTCCACAGCCTAATACTAACTACCAAGGAAGGATGCCAGCTTGGCCACAACCAGCGGCTGCTGTTTGATAAAGGAGTTCAGAAGATGAGGAGGGAAGCCTGGTGCACCCAGCTCCACCTGGAAAGAGAAGGAAGAAATGAAGGTGTACAGACAGACCTGGAACAGCCACTCTGGCAGTGGTGAGTGGAGATGCACATAGGCTCCTGAGTTTGGATCTGAGTACTGACCTTCCCCTCCCCAATGTTGAAGGTGGAGTTGACCTGAGAGTTGGAGAGCTCTACAAGATGGGGATTCTGCTCTGTTGCTGCCTTCAGCTCCAACAATCCATCTATTTCCTAAGGACACTATAGTCAGCCGTAATATTAAGTTAGTCCATCTCTGGTGCTGGGGCTTCACAAAGATTATAAACTTGCTCATTCCCCCTACTTTAATTCCCCTTGCTGTGAGCCTACTCTAGCCAAATGGCCTAGCAACCAGGGATTATAGAAACATCCCAAGGTATCCCCTGAGATAAGATGCAGTACTGTGTCACCTGGGCAAGGAAGATGACTCTGGTTATTTCTTTCCCCTCCATGATAACAGGCTGCAGGACCCAGGCACTGGGCAGGATCTCTCCTCGGACCATTTTTCTGCTGGGTCTTGGCATGGATGTGTCATACACAGACTGAGCTGCCATAATTGACAGGTGCCCCTAGGGACAGAGATACATGTGAGTTCTCTACCTGTGTAATAAAAAACAGGGATAGGTTTAAGTATATAGTCAGGATGATGACTTAAGCTACCTTACTCTAGCACCTGCTAATTGCACCTCAGCCCAAGTTCATCCCAAAACGTTTTACCACCAGCAATATAGGCACCTCTTTCGCTTCCACGCAGACACAGCAGAAGTCACGCAGCTGCTTCAGCGCACACAGTGTGGTGTCACACACCAAGTAAACTAGAAGGACAGAAAGATTATTCCATGCTCAGAAGTCCCACTTTATTCCATTGCTAGATCTCTAGCAAATCTTGTTGAGCAGTCTGGAGCTCCCAACAGTGCTGCTCCAACCCTCTACCTCTGACCCCTGGCCAGGCTTTCGGAAGCCTTCAAGCTTGGACTCACCCAGGCTGATACTGTTGGACACTCGCTGATGTAGCCTTGCTGTCTGGATGGGCTTGTGGTACAGAGGCCACAGAGTGGGATCACTCACAGCTGCCCACACATGAGACAGTGGCTGTGACACCACACCTGCACCCAAGAAGCCGTGTCGAGTAGAAGAGAATTCCTTGTAGTAAAACTGCACCTCTTGTTCCTCACCCTGGTAGCTGGGAAACACAGGAGGCAAAATAGAGAGGAGGATATCAGCATGAGGTGTGCCAGGAAAGCCAGGGCAGAGAAAGAGAATCATAGAAGGACCAAAGCACTACAAAAGAACTTACTTCCAGCCAGCTGTTGCCTGGCGGCTGAAGAGGTTGTGGAGATTATCTGAACAAGCAGCCATTACCTGGGGACAGAGGGTAGAAGCCAGGTCTCTAGGTTCAACAGTTCTGCTAACGTTTACTAAATGCCCATTTATCAAGACGAAGAGTTGTTGAAGCTCCCATGCCTTGGTGGCCCTAATCTGCCTGGCTTCTTTCCCTCCCCATCCAGCATAAGTCTGGCCATAGCAACAGGAGGGGGAAACAAGAAGGCACAGAGACTCACATCAGCCATTGAGGTGTTGACAATGTGTTTAGCCAAATCCTGGTAGGGAGAGGAGAAGCAGGTCCCTAAACTAGATAGGCTGGAGGGAGAGCAGCAGCCACTGCCCAGGGAGGCTCTGCGACCTACAACAAAGAGATGAAGGCTCTGTAATGACCTGAACACCAGCATGGTGGGACAGTGGTATGGGACCAAGAGTCTTGGGCCAGTTAATCTCAACAGCTATCATTCCCCAAGCTTCCTACTCACTGTGGGTTAAGCTTTTCCAGGTAGATCCGGTCAGATACAGCTGACTGTTCCTCACTGTGGACCGACACTGCCAACCACCTATCCAAGTGTCTTGGAAGTCTGGTACCCGAGAGTCCTCCTGCAGAATAGCAGATACTTAGAAAAGGACATCCAGAAACATCTACTAGCAGTTTCAATGGAACTTCAGGAGGTTGGATGCTGTGGTGGTTTGAATAAGTATAGCCCCCAAAGGCTCATATTTGCTTTGGAAGCCTTTAAGTTCTTGGCCTCAACAAGGCTGACACTGTTGGTTACTGGAAAATGGCACTATTGGGAAGAATTAAGGAGGAAGTATGTCATTGGGGATGGATAGGTTTTGAGGTTTCAAAAGCCCATGCCAGGACCAGTGTCACTAATGAATCAGAAATATAGTGTTCAGCTACTGCTCAGCACCATGCCTGCCTACTGCCATGATGATAATGGGCTAAGCCCCGAAACTGTAAGCAAATCCCCAGTGAAATGCTTTGAGTTGCCTTAGTCATGGTGTCTCTTAACAGCAATAGATACCAGCCAACAAGGCTTCATTATCCAGGCCATAGGCTTAAAGGGTTGCTTGCAGATCAGCTGCCATGGCAATCTGGATAACCAGTACATGGGCATGCAGCCCTCTGCCGAATGGCCACAACCCAGGGTCATAGAAGAAGCCACCTGTATCATGGTGGCAGCAGGAAATAGGCCATCATGGGGCGGGGGAGGGGGGGGGCTAGTGTAGGTAATAAAATCAAAGTAAAGGGGAGATGAGGAAGCAGTGAGCTGTGGACAGCAGACCTTGGCCCTGACCAAGTGCCGCACTGAGCCAGAAGTCCTACTATAGGACCAGAGCCTCTAGATCTCTCTTGTCTTTAGTTAGTAAACTACCCCTAAGCCAGCTGTTCCTTAGTGAAACAAAAACATGGGCCACTAAAGAGGAAAAGGCACCTGCCACCAAGCCTGAGGATGAGAGTCTGTGGGACAGAACTGATACTGAAAGCTGTCTTGTGTGATAGTATGTGTATCATATGTACACACTAGATAAATGTAAAAAAATTTAAATGAGAAACGTTCTACCTTCTTCCTTACTCTCCTGCTGTAACAGTCTCAAGTCAGTTTTAGATCTGTAACTGTCAGGATTCATTTCACCTAATCACCGTCTTTCTCCACCTGCTTCCACCTCTCCCTTTTGACTAGATATGAGCATTTAAACATACAGAGATGTCTTTCCCAGCATGGAGCTTCCTGAAGCCAATGTTCTGTCATCTCCTAACCCTCGCCTATACAGCATCCACCAGAACTAGAACCATTTGCAATCACGACTCCTCCAAAAAACCACCATAGGCCACAATCCTGTGGGACCACAAGATGCTTTCAGCCCCATCTTCCTGCATCTTTCAGTAGGCTGTCACATGCCCATCAAGATCTGTTCCTCCAGCACCCAGGCTCACTGCTCCCACCCGTGCTCTGTCTCAGGTTCTTACTGGCTGTCCTTAACCACAAACTGACGTCTTGGAATTCTTTTGCACTTGGGCCAATGCCCTAGGCAACCTCACCCGGTGACAATGCTAGACTGGTGATTTCTAGCTATAATCATGAATTAATATTACTAGGACAACTGGACTGGCACTGGGGGCAGGGATTACATCAGAGACCTATTTTATAGAGCAGGTCAAAATTCTTTATGCTTTGTGGGTCAAATATCAGAGCAAGAAAAATGTAGCATTATTAAGAAAAAATTTTAAAGGCCAAAAAGCAGGAAAAGACTAGTTAGTGTGTAAGGTAAATAACGCCAAAAATCAAAATATAAAAACTATAGAAAAAAGACACAAAAACCCACAAAAAAACTAAACTGCAACAGCACATTAAAAGAATATTCCTGGTATATAAAATGAGTTCCAGGATATCCAGAGTTACACAAAGAAATCTTTGTCTTGAAAAACACAAATTTTAAAAAAGGACTAGAAAGATGGCTCAGTGCTTAAAAGAGCACTGGCTGCTTTTCCAGAGGACCTGGGTTCAATTCGCAGCACCTACATGGCAATTTTCAACTGTCTGCATTCCAGTTCCAGGGTATCTGACACCCTCACCCAGACATAAATGTAGGCAAAATACTAATGAACATAAACTATAAAAAGAATAATACATCATGCATGCAAGTGTTTGGTGTGTATTTAGAAAATTCAAGAAAGCAAGGAATATTACCGAAAACAAAATAAGAAAGCAAGGATAGTTTCATTCAGCCAATATGAACAAATACACAAGATAGCAATGTCCAAAAACTGAAAAGTAATGCCCTGGAAAAATCATACATGCTCCCTTACAGTAAAAAATATATCTCAGTTTAAACTGGTATGAAATAACAGAAGCATCCCGCTAATGTCTGGAAAAAGATGAGGACACTGGTTCTCACCTGTTCAGGATCTAGCTAATGCAGCTACAGGGCACGAAGTAACACAGTAAGGACATGGTGAGAGGTCTAGGATTTGACTTGACATGCCTACAGTCCTAAAGAGATGTAGAGAAGAGAAGCTATCCAATATGGTAGCCTGTTTGCTGAGTGTGCCCAATGTGGCACATGTGACCTTAGAACATTTTGGATGTGGTGTCAAGTCACCTATTCCTCCACAAATACAAAGCAGATTATAACCTAACATTTCCAAAAGCAGCTACCAAAAAGCACTGGGATTCCACAGAATGGCGAATGGAAACCTATATCCAATGAACTGAGAAAGGAGCATAGCAGAAGATACAAAATATCCCAGGACTTGCCCTAGCTCCACTGCCCAGAAAGATGGCTCCCTTCTGCAGGGCTGAAGGGAAACAGTCCAGGATAACTCATCAGTGCAAATGGGTCAGGCCTGGCTACTGGGAAGACCCAGACCCCTAACAGGTTTACAGCCTAACTAAATAAAGAACTTGGAATCTCCCTCACCTGGCTTTAGAAAAAGGATTCACTTTTAACTCAGTGTCCTGTCCCCTTCCCCGCCACCTGCTGGGGTGCTGTAGGCAGAAGACATTTTGATAATGGACCTGTTTGAATTTGTACTGCTCTGGGCATCCAAAATCCCTGTCCCCATCTCTGGAGTCCCATAGAAATTTCACTCTACCGGCAACAAGGGGAGCCACCTCACGCGCGAGACCTGGCTTAGTAGTAGTGACTCAAACCTGACGAGAGCATGTGGGGAACAACATTGACACAGAAGTGAAAGAGGGTAGAAGCTGAGAGGATTGTCCCAAATTACTAAAATGACAGGTACCAGTGAAACCTAGATTCTTAAAAGCTGGAAAATCTAATCTAATCTTGGTAAATACTGATGGCCAATTTAAAAATCAAGTGGACATAAAAAAAAAAACCAGATCTATTACAAGCAACAATACTGAAACCGCAATAATCTCCCAACAAAGAAAAGTTTAACGCTGGGTGACTGCATTACCAAATTCTACCAAACCTTAGAAGTTAATGTCAGCTGGGCAGTGGTGGTGCACACCTTTAATCCCAGTTCTTGGGAGGCAGAGGCAGGCGGATCTCTGAATTCGAGGCCAGCCTGGTCTACAAGGGCTAGTTCCAGGACAGACCCCAAAGCTACAGAGAAATCCTGTCTCAAACCAAAAAAAAAAAAAAAAAAGTTAATATCAATGCTCCATAAAACAGAAAGGAAAGGAACACAACCAAACACATTCTAGGAAGCCAGGACTATCCTGTTACCAAAGCCAGATAAACACACAACAGCAACAAAACTAGAGGCTAAATTCTCTCATGAATTAAGATGGAAAAATTCTCAACAAAATATTTGGAAACAGAATTCAAGAATACACTGAGGAGCTGGAAAGATGGTGCAGTGGTTAAAAACACATGCTGCAGCCAGATATAGTGGCACAGCCCTTAATGCTAGCTCTCAGGAGGCAGAGGCAGGCAGATCTCCGGGCTTGAGGTCAGCCTGGTCTACACAGCCAGAGCTACATAACTGAGACCCTGTCTCAAGAAAACAAACAAAAAAGAACATGTGCTGCTTTTCCATAGGACCCCAGTTCAGTTCTTAGTGCCCACGTGACACTTCATAGCTCTAACTCCATTTCCAGCAGCTAATGCCCTCTTGTAGCATCTATGAACACTAGGCACACACGTTACACATATAAAAATTCAAGCACACATGCATGCACATAAAATTAAATTTTTAAGAAATTCGACATACCATTAAAAAATCATAAAAGTAATCCCACCCATAATAAGTGTTTCATTTAGTTATTTTGTGGCTAAGAATAAACTAATAAAGTCAAAGACTTACACAATGAAAATTGCAAAACACTGAAGAAATTGAAGACAGACACTAAGAGGCTCAGAGGTTAAGAGCACTTCCTGATCTTCCAAAGTACCCCACTTCAGTTTCCAGCACCCACATCTGCTTGTAACTCTACTCCAGGTGATCTAGTGTACACATTTACACAAACACACATAAAAATGTAAGTAAAAAATGTTTTAAAATCTTTAAATTCAAATATGGAAATAACTCCCCAAAGTTGATTATTTGGAAGAATTATACAATTACATCCCCATAATACTCAAAGCAATTGACAGATTCAGCATAATCCTAATCAAAATGTCAATGCTATTCTTCATGGAAACAGAAAAAACTAATCCCTAATTCATATGGGAATGTACTCCCAAACAGAAATCCTAAGTGAAAAGAGCAAAACTAGAAGGTTTACAATACTTGATTTCGAGGAATGCTAAAGAACCATGGTAACAAAGCCAATGTGGTATTGGCTTAAACAGACCATAGAAAATCTAGAAATAAATCTTGCATGCACAGCCAACTGATCTTTCCTTCACAAAAGATCCCCAAACAAACACTGGAGAATGGACAGACCACTGGAATGAGTGGAAACATACATCCAGAAGACTGGATCTGGACCCTCATCTCTCACCACCACAAAATTAACTCAGAATGGATAGAAAGATGTTGTTTCCTGAGTGTCTTGCTACACACAAGTGACCCTGAACTCATGGTCCTTCTTCCTCAACATACCAACTGCTGGGATTACAGGTGCGTATCACCATGCCAGGCCTTAGTGTAAAACATAAAACTTAGAAATTACTACAGAAGGGCTGAAGAGATGGCTCAGCGGTTAAGAGCATTGCCTGCTCTTTCAAAGGTCCTGAGTTCAATTCCCAACAACCACATGGTGGCTCACAACCATCTGTAATGGGGTCTGGTGCCCTCTTCTGGCATGCAGGCATACATGCAGAAAGAATATTGTATACATAATAAATATTTTTTAAAAAAGAAGAAATTACTACAGGAAAACAGAGAAAATAATTCAAAAGTGCACAATCAATGATTTTCTGAACATGGCTACAGAGCTTTTAAGTTGACAGTTGAACTGGGCAGTGGTGGTACACACCTTTAATCCCAGCTCTTAGGAGGCCTCAGAGTCAGGCAGATCTCTGAGGTCTAGGCCAGACTGATCTACAGAATGAGTTCCAGTACAGCCAGGACTTAAAAATAAATAAGTAAATAAATAAATAAATAAATAAATGAAATTGACAGTTGAGATTATATCACATATAAAAGTTTCTGTACAGCAAAGAAAATGGCCAGCAAAGAGACAGTTAAAGAATTAAGAATGAATTGGTGGTGGTGGCACACACCTTTAATCCAAGTGCTCAGAGGCAGAGGCAGGCAGAACTCTGTGAGTTCGAGGCCAGCCTGGTCTACAAGAGCTAGTTCCAGGACAGGCACCAAAGCTACAGAGAAACCCTGTCTCGAAAAACAAAAATAAATAAAAAAGTAGTGCATCTATGCATCTGCTGTGGGCGGTGGTGGCACATGCCTCTGAGTTCCAGGACAACCATACTACACAGAGAAATCCTGTCTGGTTTGGACATGGTGGGGAATGAGGGAGTCAGGCAAAGATCATGAACCCTAATAGCTCCACTAAGAACTAGACTTCAATTCACAAACAAAGGGCAAAAACCAATGGCCTTGACCCTGGATGAGGTGAGGCACATATGCTGGGCCAACACCCCTTTACCCTCCTTGAGTGATGACCAAATAAGGACAAAGCCTGGGACTTGTTCAGACTTGCCCAAGAATGGAGAAGTTATAGCCTTGGCCTACCCTCACTAGCCCAAACCAATTAGAAATGTACTAATATGATTGCCATTTACATAAGCCAATCCTAAATAGAATGGCCACACTGCTTTTCACATTCCTGTAGCTGTCCTTAAAAAGAGCTTACAAGTCCCTCTCAGGTGTGTGCGACCCCCTATACATGTGGTATAATAAAAATGTTCTTGCTGATTGCATCATGACTAGTGGTTTTTTGGGGGACCTCTCATGGAAGAGTTGTACACACTATCCATGTGCATATTCATATGGGTGTACACACGATGCCCTGCTGTGGGAAAATCCTTCTGTATGCCGTGAATATGTTTTACTCCCATTGGCTAATTATAAAGCTGTTTGGCCTATAGCAAGCCAGGATTAAGTCAGGCAGGAAAGCCAAACTGAGGACTGGAATGAAGAAGGGTAGAGTTGGGGGAGACACCAGTGAGCTGCCCAAGAAGCAAGATGCTAGAGGACAGGTAAAGCCATGAGCCATGTGGTAATACAAAGATTAATAGAAATTGGTTAATTTAAAAGTAAGAGCTTAAAAGTTAGTAATAAGCCTGAGCTACTTGCTGAGCATTTTATAATTAATATAAGCTCTGTGTGTGTGTTTACTTGGGACTGGGATGTCAGGACAGAAAAGCTATGCCTCTTTTAACAATCCATGTGCATATTCATATGGATATACACACTATCCATGTGACTAAGATGAATACTTTTGGGTAGGGAAAATGTACCTTCATGTCACATGGCATATGCACTGTTTAGATGTTATTTTTTACTATGTGCATTTTAATTTATAATGTGAACTTTAAATATTTATCTCCAGCCAGACCTTATTTGGAGCACTTCATGTTTCCAGCTGCTTTCTTGGTTGTAACTACTAGCTTCTTCTTCATTCTAAGCTGAATTCTTCAGAAGCGCCTTTAACCCAGTAAGTAAATATCAAGCTTGCAACCTTCCCCACAAAACCTGGTCCTTCTCTAGCATCCTTCATTGTTGTTATGGCCACCACCTCAGGTCAAACAGGAGTTCAGAGCTGAGCAGGTAAAGGTACTTGCCATATAAGCCTGGCAACGTGAGTTCAATCCCCAAGATCTACATAAAGATGGAAGGAGAAGGTAGGCCTTTAATCCCAGCACTCGGGAGGCAGAGGCTGGCGGATCTCTGTGAGTTCAAGGCCAGCCTGGTCTACAGAGCAAGTGCCAGGACAGGTTCCAAAGCTACAGAGAAACCCTGTCTTGAAAAAAAAAAACAAACAAAACCAAAACAACAAACAAAGATGGAAGGAGAGAACCAACTCCATAAAGATATTCTTTACTGACACACACACACTGTGGCATCTGTCCACAAACACATATAGCACTCACAATAGCAATAAATAAATGAGTGCATAGTGTTTTCAACTCTGTCTCTTTCTCCTACATCCTACCAGTCACCAAGCAACTGCTCTTCTTGCACCCTTATCTGGTGATCTTCACTGGAAATGCTAAATCCAAGCTCTCGCCATCTTTCTCAATTCTGCCATGGTCATCAATAGGTCTTCCCTGGGCTGCTCGTCTCTCTCCCTTGCAATCCAATGTTCTAATATATATATATGCCTGTGTGTGCATGCATTCAGGCAGGTGTATGCATGTCACTGCAGCAGCTTTAAAAAAATCTTTTCTGTGGAGTAACATCATCAGACTAGAAAGGGGACAGAATTCTCAGTACACTCTTTTGCCATTCAGCCATCTTACTCTATATTCCATCCACAAGGGCTCTGCTTAGCTCTTCACACTCTGAGGCCTCTCTTCCGAGGGTACCCCTCTCCCAAAAACAGCGCCACTCAGCTCTTCCTAATCTCATTACCACTCTAGTCTCAGTGCAAACAGTCTCTTCAGGATGTCTTCACTGACTCTATAGATCTAGACAAACCACCTGTTATGCTGGCTTGGCATTCCTTCAGTTAGCTCAGTGTAATAACAATGAACATAAAACAAGCAGCTTAACATATCTATCTCTGGGCTGGAGAGATGGCTCAGAGGTTAAGAGCTATTGCCTGCTCTTTCAAAGGTCCTGAGTTCAATTCCTCGCAACCACATGGTGGCTCACAACCATGTGTAATGAGGTCTGGTACCTTCTTCTGGCCTGCAAGCATACACACAGACAGAGTATTGTATACATTGTATACAGAGTATTGTATACATAATAAATAAATAAATACATAATAAATAAATAAACACCATTTTACTTACTACCTTATCCTAAAATAGTGTCTACTATTTAGGATAAAATAAAAGCTTAAGTCGGGGCTGGAGAGATGACTCAGTATTAAGAACACTGGCTGTTCTTCCAGAGACCTAGGTTTGGTTCCCAGTATCTACACAGTGGCTTACAACTGTCTGTAATTCTAGTCCCGGGGGATCTGATGCCCTCCTCTGATCTCCATGGGCATCGTGCCCTCACATGGTACACAGGCATACCTGCAGGCAAAACCCACACACAAAATAAAAATAAATCTTGCTGGGCATCATGGTAGATGCCTTTAATCCCAGCACTCAGGAGGCAAAAGTAGAGACAGGTGGACCTCTGTGAATTCAAAGCCAACCCAGTCTACATAATAAGTTCCAGGACAGCTAGTGCTTCATAGTGAGCCCCTGTCTCAAAATAAATATATTTTTAGCCGGGCGGTGGTGGCGCACGCCTTTAATCCCAGCACTTGGGAGGCAGAGGCAGGCGGATCTCTGTGAGTTCGAGGCCAGCCTGGTCTACAAGAGCTAGTTCCAGGACAGGAACCAAAAGCTACAGAGAAACCCTGTCTCAAAAAATCCAAAAAAAAAATTAAATAAATAAATAAATATATTTTTAAAGATTTATTTATTTATTATGTATACAGTGTTCTGCCTACATGTCAGAAGAGGGCACCAGATCTCTTTACAGATGGTTGTGAGCTTCCATGTGGTTGGTAGGAATTGAACTCAGGACTTCTCAAAGAGCAGCCAGAGCTCTTAACCACTGAGCCATTTCTCCATCCCAATAATAAAAATCTTTTTAAAAAGAAAGAACAACAACAAAAGTAAATAAAACTGAACATGTATTGTTTTGTTTGTTTGCTGACTTTTTGGTTTTTGTTCTTGTTTTGAGACAGACAGGGTCTCAAAACAAGAAGTATATAGTTCTGTCTGTCCTGGATCTTACAATATAGATCCGTTTGGCCTTAAACTTGCAGAGATCCACCTGCCTCTACCTCCTGAGTGCTAAGATCAAAAGCCTGCACAACCATGCCTTGCTGTATACCACACAGGTTCCATTTCCAGCACCCACATTACAGCTCACAACTACCTGTAGCTCCAGCTCCAGGGGGATCTGATGCCTTTGGCTGCTGTGAGCACCAGTACTCACATGTATACACAGAAACAAATACATACGCATAACTATAAATAAAGCAAACACACAGAAATGCAAGATTAAAGGAGAGGAAGGCATATGGGAAGGGCTCAGTGGAGACCTGCAGAAGACACAGATCCTACACACACTTACATCTCAGAAACTTCCTGATGTCTGTCCACTCACCTTGACCTCTAGGGACTGGGGGTGGCCTGAGAAGGCTGGGCTGCTGTTGTAACCAGATGTGATGCCAGAAGACAGGCTTCCACTGGAGCTGGTGCACAGGGAGCTAGAGTTGGCTAGAGTTTGTAGTTTTTCCTCTTCCTGGGAAGAAGACAGATAAAACTAGCTTCTGATGATACACCCTCGCTACCATACTCTCTCCTCTGAACTTCCCTCTCACCTCCACAGCTAACCACCACTCTTCCTAGAACCTCCTGCCTACTTCCCAGAAGCCACCACTCTCCTGCTGCCCCACATCCCTGACTCCACACGGAAGCCTCTTCCTCCCACATTCTGGCCTGTGTCAAATACGGTCTGATGAGCGTGTAAAGGGAATAGGAGCCCAGCTTTGGGCTGGAAGCCCACCCTCCAAGTGGATCTCCATCAGAGCTGCCAGAGTCTAAGATCTGGCCCAGGTTTCAGGCCTCTCTTAAGGCAGAAGATCACTTCATTCCTCACCTTCAACAGCTGGGAGATGATCTGCTGGCGGATTCTCTGCTTTTCTTGTTCGGTCCGCTCCCTGAGCCGATCTCGAGCCTGGGCAATCTCCACTTTGGCCTCCTCGCGGGCTTGATGATAGTCTCGAAGCATCAGCTCAATGTCAGAGGGTAGGTTGGCTGATCTTGACGCTGGTTCTGGGATCCTGGGGAAGTATACAGAGGGGGAAAGTCATCTTCTAACATGATGGGTGCATAAAGTATGGTCCTGCCCACCCTAGCAGGCTCAGCAAACCTCCTGCTGTCTGCAAAGTCATCATTTTACGTACTTAGGAGGTATCTAGAAAGAGAGGAACGAGCCATTCTAAGACCTAGGCACACAGACTTGCATAACACATGAGTCCCTTTTTTCTAATGCATTCTCATGATTTCTCTCTGTTCATCTTCTGCACAGCTATACCCCATTCCCTCTTATACATCCTATTTCCATTTGCCCTAGACTTCCACATCTACCTCAGTTTATCCAGAAACCTGGAAAAGCCTCTGAGATGTTCAAATTCTAGTCCCTTTTCCCACAGAGCCTGCAGGAAGTGGGCTCTAGATTCATCCTTACCTAGTGGTCTCTACGACATCCTTCCTCAGCTGTTGCAGGTATTCTCGGCGTCTGCTGGGCAAGTCAAATTCCCAGGTGGGGAGATCCTTGTTGGGCAGGAAGCCGAGTTGTTTCTGGGGACTGAGGCTTCGTGTTCGACGAAAGTTATGAAGTCGCTCAGCCCTCTCTCTCCTGAGGGTCTCTATGGTCTTTTTCTGCCTGAGACAAAATGTGATTGATTCACTGAAGCTAGTACTACATGGCCTTCACCCTGAAGATCCCTGAGGGGAGCAAGGGCAGAGCTAACATCTTACTGTTAAGTTTCCTAAGGCCCTGCCTTACCTTGCCCACCCTCACCCTCCAGGTCCAGGACCCTTACCTGGTGTAGGGCTTCTCCCAAGAGGACACAGCAGGTTTTTGAGGAGTAAGCACCTCCCCTGTCTCACTCTGCAGCACCTTCAGCAGGGCATCTGTCTCCCCAAAGCCACGGTGCAGCTTTGCTTCTGTGAGTTCCACACTGAGTGAGGGTTTCTGGACCCCAACTTGCAAAGGGATATGCTCCAATCGGAGCCACTCAGGATCCTGGCTGTAGTCGTCAGGAGGTTGCAGGGGCCTTTGTGTTTGGTCTGCAGAACTGGAATCACACCTGACCCCTAGATTCTCACTGACATGCAGCCCTCCACAAGACTTATCCTGAACTCTATACCAGTTATCAAACTTGTTATGAACTGGGAGGTCCCTCAGGCTGTGATGCTGGAGATCAGAGGCCACACACACATGTGAACCAGGGCAGAGCAGCCCCACAGGTTGGCAGGCCTGAAGTGACTCTACAGTAGGCCTTTGAAGCCCTGTAGCATCAGAGATGGGACAAGGGCTCAGGGGCTGAAGACCTCTCCATGAAGAAGATAGATCCAGGCTGGGCTGTGGCTCTACTATAGACACTGAGCTCTCATCCCCATTTGCTATCCTGCCCTGCCACTGACTTGGCCTCCTGCTGTCCTGTGGACCATGCTCCATGGAAGCCACCCTCTCAGGCACAAAGCTGTCATCTAATTTCAGGCTCCTGTGTCTTGGAGGAGGAGATGGCAGTCTGCTTGGGTCTCCAGTGCTGCTCGTGGGCTGAAGCTGCTGAAGGGCCTGCCCTAAGACACTAACTTGGAGACTAGAGTTCTGCTGTGGGCAGCATGGGGGGCTAGAATCAAGAACTAATTTCTCAGGACACTTTTCTAAGGGGCTCTTGCCTTCTCCATCCGGAGACCTAACTCTCTGAGAGACGCCAGACTCATTAGTGGCTTGAGAATTATCCACTGAAGGTCTTGAGTTACCAACAGCAAGGTCAGGGCTGATGTTAATCTCCTGGAAGTCTTCAAGAGGATGAGCTGAGGGAGCTGATAGAGTCACACAGGCTAAGGGGTTGCTCAACTCCTGGGTGCTGGCACTAAATGTAAGGATTGGAGAGGAAGCCCTGTCCACCAGCATGGCACTCGAGGGGCCCATGTTCTTCTGGGTACTAGGCTCCTGGGTGAACTCTGAAGTACCAACTAAGAGCCCTGAGTGATGGGAGATGCTGGAACTGTTGACCACCATGGAAGATTCCTCTGGCTGCAGGCTGGCAGGTGAGGAAACATCAGTAGAAGCTGGGGGGCTCACAAAAGGAAGGTTCTGCCCAAGATGGGCTTTCTGAAACTTCAAGTGTGATGAGGGCACAGGAGGGCTCTGTAGCTTATAGTGGGTACTTCCTTCATGGGGATCTGGGGATTCTGTTTCCTCGGCCCCTTTCTTCTCAAACACTTCTGGGACATCTCCCTTTTCTTGAACCACGGTGGTGATACCTGAGTCCATCACTTCAAGGATCACACTGACTTCCTGAGGCTTGACATCTTGGGCCTGGAAGGGCAGAAGAGGTAAGGCCAGGTCTGTCTGGATACCCTCATCAACAGTGGTCTGAGTAGAACCGTCCATCATGAGGGCCTGTGGGGCCTCATCTGGGGAGTCACTCTTGATGTTCTGCTCCTTTGGGACTACATTTGGCTGAGAGAGACTCCCAAGCAGCTCGGAAGTGCTGTGCAGAAGCTGTGAGAGGTGGAGAGAAAGGTTGTGCATGCTGTTCCAGGAGGCCAGTTCAGAGTCTGACATTGTCCTGGCATCAGACTGAGCAGAGATATCGGTGCAACTCCAGTGGAGCCTGCTGCCTAGGGTCTGTGTTCCTTGCTCAAAGGTATTCATCCTGGCCTGCCCCACAGCACAGCCTGTCTCAGATGGGCAAAGCAGTATGATCTTATCTACTGCAGCTGTGGCACTCCCTCCAGCCAGAGGCCACTCACTCTTCAGACAGCCTCTCCTCTCAGAAGAGCCCTCGAATGGAGGTCTCGTGTCAGGATCCCAAGCTGAGGCAACTCCTTCAGATCTAGTCAAGAGATGGGGCTTCTCCATGGCAAATGAGGAACTCCCTATTTCCCAGTCTTCCTTTGAACTTTGATCATTCTCAATATTGTTGTGCATATTTGACTGATCCCCAGTTTTGGCGTCAGTCCTTACATGGGAATGAAATGGGGATCTCTTGTCGTCCAGGGCACTATCCATGCTGGAACACTGAGCCATATTTGATGGTATTAGGCATTGGGGTTTCTGGCTACAAGAGTCATCAACTGCACTTCCAAACACATACTGCTTCCAGCCAATACGCACAGGTCCCTGTGGACACCAGGGCAGGACATAGGAATTTATGTCACTAGAACCAAAGTGCAGTACTTCTTTGTCCACCTGAGAGTGCCAGTTCTCTGGCATACCCTGGACACTCAGTTTATCTGTCTTTCCTTGATGGGCCTGTTCCAAAGTACCAGGCATCCAGTTAGTCATGAAATCAGGGGTTGGCATACATGACACAGTAGATGATGTTGGATAAGGAGGAATGACAGGTTTCAGGGGCTCATGTTCAGTGGGGCTATTGTTCAAGTTACAAGAAGCTTTCTGATTGCAACCCTGAATCTTTGGAGATGTTGGCAATGGATTTTCTAAGGAATGGCCCCTGAGAAGGGGGCTCCACAATCTCTTTGGCCCCTGTGCATCCTCATCTGTCAGGGAAGGAGACTCCACACTCAAATTTAATTCTTGAAGAGATCGAGATGAGCTGATCACAGAGAACTGAGGTCTAGGGGAGTACCTGGAATGCTTAGTGCCAGAGAAGACTGCAATCACAGGGAGTGCGTGCTTGGGGCGGAGAGCCAGCTGTTCCCTTCCTGAGTAGAGTTGACCAGGAGTCGGGGCAGCAGGCTGTGATGTTTCAGTTTGCCCCAAGGGCAGAGAAGCTGAGCCTGCAAGGTCTGAAAACAAAGTCTGGGACACAGGAGACTTGGTTACAACTATCTCCTCTCTTTCACTATCTCTAGTATGACAGCCATCAAAGCCACCTTCATTTGAAGATGTTAGATTTCTGACCTGGGCATGGTCTTTGCCACCTCCTGAAGCTTGCTCTCTTTGTTGCTCTTCTTCCTCCCACGAAGTCTCAATTTGAGGATGGCAGGTGTGTTTTAACCTATGTATAAAATTGGCTTGAGGACCCATGCAGCTGTGACCCCTGACCTCAGTGGAAGGTTGTGTCTTTCCTGAGCAGTGTCTGGTAGTATTTTCTAAATGTCCATACTGAGCTGCTATTACCAGTGTACCATCAACAGATCCTTCATTTAAATTCAGGGTATGTGGTCCCTGAGTCACTACAGGAGGTTCTGGCTTGGATTGAGAGACCTGTGCATTCTCCCCTACAGAGTTATCCTTCCAAGTCCTCAGTGGCTCAGAGTGTGTTCCTGCAGGATTGGTTGTATAAACATCCTTAGGGGCAATGCTGGTCTTCCCTGAAATGTTTTCCTCAGAACCTTCAACTGACCTTCCACCAGCAGCTACATGGGTGAGGCCATTTGCCTTCACTTCTGAGGTGGATAGGGAATAGCGGCGTTGAGCTGGAGAGGAGACAGCAGCTGCAGTGGATGGGTTGGGGACGCTGTTGTCTACAGACCCAGGTTCTACATTAACATGCTCATGCTTGGGAAATCTCTCTACTGTTCTGTCCACTTCACAGTCCCTATATGGAACTATGGAAGGTGAGTGGACAGGATGTGGAGCAGCCTGAGGAGTTCCTTTCCTAAGGACACCGTCTCTATAACACGGCAGAGTGGAGGCATGGGAGCAGCAGGCATGAACAGCAGTAGGTTGAGAACCATTTAGTTGAGAAATCATTCTGTTCTCTTCCTCCTCATAAGATGAGTCAAGTGGCCTGCTGCCTCTAGTTCTCCTCTCTAAGACAAGGCACTCTTTTGGGCACAGACATGGCGTCTCTTTTCTAACTCCACTAAGATGCAGGGTAGGGATCTGACCTACAAGTGGAGTTGACCTTGGATTCTTGTTGTCAGCTCCATGGGCTTCTGCCAGGTCAGAGTCAACATTTCTCCACTGGACAGGATGATACATGTGAGCTTCTGCTTCAGCCTTTTTAGGAGCCCCTGGTTGAACAGCACATGGTGTTGGACTTGCCTTAATTTCTTCTAAGCCAGTAGAAGCATCTGAGCACTGGACATGGTCTTTCTTGGGCCCTAAAAGGCCTGCAGAATTATCAACATGACAGATCACAGACTGACATTCATAATGGACTGCTTTTCCTTCCTGTGTGGTCACTAAGATTTTAACTGAGCCTCCTCCACATGTACAATCTAGACGTCTAGGTTCCCGATACTCTGGGATGCTGTCCTGACTACCAAAGGATATGCCCTCTGCAGTTTTCCATGAAGCTAACTGACTTTGCCCATGCAGAATCCTGCCAGGATCATCACAAGAAGTTTGAAAAGGTAAGACAGACACTTTCTCTGATCCCACCCTCCCATCCTGCTCTACAGCTGATATAGAAAGAAGCCTGTCTGAGGCCGAAGGATCAACAAAGGACAGTGTTCTGGATGTTTCTTTCTTTGTCTCTATGACTTCAGAAGACTCAGACCATCCACTTGCTCCACAAAACTGTCTTGACTCTCTAGTACAATGTCTTTTTTCTATACCTGGGATTACGTGAGAGGAAGCCAGCAAATGATGCCCTGGTCCTCTGTCAGTTTCAGGGCTGGGCAGATGCTGAAAGTTCCCTGCACTGGGAGGCACGGCTTGCACTTCCTTCTCAGCATCCAAGAGGTCTGCAGACACAGCAGCTGGAGATGCCATATGCAGTCCTAGGGCTTCATTTCCATTCCTGGTGCTTCCCCACCCTAACTTAACCATTTGCTCCAGAGGCCTACCAGCAGCCTCAGAAAAACACCCTTCTTGTGAAGTCTCATAAGGAAGGACTGTCTCCTTAGTCACAAAGTCATTAAGCTGCTTCCTCTGTGCTTTTGCCTGTCTGATCTCTGCCAAGATAGCCAGACATATGGATGCATGTATAGAGGAGTCAGGTAGCAGCGGAGGCTCTGGATCCAGCACCCTCGGTAGAGACAAGGATGTTGAGCTAGCAGACTGCTGATCGGACTTCTCTTCTGTCTGCCTTTCCTCCTCACCCTGGTCACTATCTTCCTGTAGGAGGAAACTGACCCTCTTTTCAGCCTGCCTTGAGACGCTGTCCAAGGAACTGTTTATTTCTTTTTGTACAGTTGCCTCAGATTCAGAACCCAAATCTTCCTGGATAGTCAAGCCTGTTGAAGTGACTCTGAAGTCCCCTCTCTGGTCTTCTTGGGAGCTAGTGCTTCCTGTTATCCAGTCCTCTGTCTCTAGTAGAATGCTCTCTGGTATAAGTGACTGATCATTAGCTCTCATGACTGTGGGCGTCACAGATTCACACCAGGCAGTGTGTGCAGCTGAAGCATCCACAATACCACTTCCCTGTGGGCTACTGCTTCTGGCTCCTCCACTGTAATCCTGATGCCCTACTCCAGTTGCCAAGGAACTTCTATTAATTTTCAACATTGTAGGCTCTAACACGTACTCAACTGAAGAGATGCCTCTAGTATCAGAGGCATGCAAACAGCTTCTTGGTAAGCTTGGAAAATCCAAGGGTTGGGTACCACTCAGTTCTCTATCAGGAAGAGTTGCAGAGAAGCCTGTCTGATTATGGAGCGGGGAGACAGTTTCCTGGATGAAAAATGTACCCTTACAATCCTGGCTTGGAGCTGGAAGTTTTTGGGTCAGTGAGACCAAAGTCTCTTGCAGCTTCCCCCCTTTTTCCATGGCCAGTTCTTCAACTCTCCTGTGAGCTTTTGCATCCTTCAACTCTGAATCACTTGGGAGTTCAACAGTTTGGCTTTCCTGAACACTTCCCATAGTTTCTGTTTCCTTGAAACTTTCCAAGGTCCAAGCCCTGTCTTGGAAGTCTGATGATGCTTTTAACAGCTCGTCATCCTTCTCAGGAGAGCTCTCTACAATGGGCTGCAATGGCAGAGCACTGGCTAACACGTTCATTCTCTTTGAAATGTTGCTAGGCTCTCTGAGAGCTATGTCCTTCTCCAAAGAATCACACATGTCCCTTGCATGCCCATCTACTCCAGGTGGTGGGTGTGAGTGTTCACTCTCAGACTTCCCCTTTTGTGCATGTCCCCTTGACCTAAAGGGGCTTCCTATGCTTTTCTGAACCTGGGCATTACTGATAGCATTGTTACCCTCCATTTCCCTAGCTTCACTGTCTCCAAAGATACCATCCTCAATCTGTATTGGAAAAGATGGCTGACTCTCAAAGAATGGATGTTTTCCAGAACTTCCTGGCATCAGACCACGGTCAGCCCTCTCCTGGTCCTGGCGGTCCTGGAGCATAAACTCTGTACTTGGCATTTGAGAAACATGAAGCTGCTGCTTCTGCTTGGATTCAATTTCTAAGATGTCAGTTTCCAGCTGCATTACACTCCTGATCAGCCTAGCCATTTCGTCGGCACTGTTAACTCTCTTATTCTGTCTCTCTCCCAAAGGTTCTTCTTTGGACTTTATTTCTTGGGATTGCCCATGAACCTTGCATTCTCTAGCTTTTCTTTCCTGAGAGCACATGGCTAGATGGCACCTTTCACAGGTGTACTGGGTTCCTGGAAGACTAAACTCTTCTTGGATGTCTTTGGAAATCACCTCCCTGGGAAGCACTGTTTCATTCCTCCCTTCCCACCTGTGAGGTGGGCTCCCACCTCCTGTCATGATCTCCGGGCTGCTTACTCGACTGTGCAGCGATCTGGACGTCAAAGGAAGAGCAGTTTCCTCAGGTAGGACCTTCTCCAGGTCTAAATTGGTGATCTTACCAATGAAGTCAGACCTGGCTCCAGATGAAGACTGGCTGTGAACAGCACAGGCCTGGATCTGTGGTGGGAGTGGGCTCTGTTCTTCCCCACTTGCCTTGGAATCACAGATGAAGAGCAAAGTCTTTGACTCAGACCCGTCAAAGGCGACACTGCAGTGATGCCAGGCAGAGGCCCCTCCTCCTTCCTCGTGGACTGAGAAGCTGTACTTTTTATTTAAAATTCCAAGTTGATTTCCACATTCACAAACTTTGAGGCTGGTAGAAGGGAGATGATGTCTGTTCTGAGCAAAAAAACAGTAAGCAGAATCGTGGTTTCCTTCCTTTCTCGTATTTCTAGAGCATTGCTCCAGTTCTTCAGTGACTTCTGTCTTCAGAAGAGTTGGCCTCCTTGTCAACTGCTGAGACGCGTCAGTCTTAGAATTCTGGCCTTGTGACAACTTGGGTAAGTTATTCCTCCAGTTAGCTTTCTGGAGGACCTGATAGCTATGACCAAAGCCCCAGGCTTCCCTGGGGGGTGGGGATGGCACCCAGGCTTCCCTGCAGGCTGGAATCTCTAAGGCAGTTTCTGTCAGGGCATCCCTGCTTTTGGTTACATAAAATGTTTCCAAGGAAGGTGGCTGTAGAGAAGATGGGAAAGGACTCCAGGGAGCAGAGTGCAGGAAGAGCTCTGGACCTGACGGGAAAGTACAAGAAGCATCTGTATGTGTTCCATCTGCTTCCTTGGCATGCTGCTGAGAATCTGCCTTCTCCTCCAGCAGTGGCTGCTGACAACTGTTGTGACTTAGTCTTGGCTGAACAACAGTGCTTTTTTCGAGAAGAGTCCCATCTTGGGGCCAGTGGTCTGCTTTGGTAGGTAAGATATCACGATTGTGAAAAGCCTTCTTCTGGAAGAAATACTGCCCAGAGGAAGTTATCAGCCCAGGGTTCCTGCTACCCTGAAGGCACCCTCCCAAGCTGGTCTGTTTGACTTCCCATGCTTCTGTCATATAATTTGGTGTCTTATTTCCTGCTATACAGGTCTGTGCATTTATAGATCCAGAAGTCAGTGATTCTAGGTCTGCCGAGTTTGCCCCATTGTAACTCCCTTTCTCGATGGTACTCAAGAGATCAGAAGCACTTTCTAAGTTGCCACTCAAACTGTCATGCTCTTTCTCTGCTCTTAAGTGTCTGATTTTTGATATGTGGACTGGAAAGTAGCTGAAATCTAAATTTTTAGATACACCAGGGTCAACTGGCAACTGAGTATCTACTTTATCAGAAGCTTCAGCTAGGGAGCTAGACTCTTCCTCCAGGCAGGAGAAAGCTGGCCTGGGCTCTCCCACAGCTTCCAAAACAGAATTAGAGAGTTCAAGGAGATACTTCTGCTGAAGGGAAGCCCAGTCCTTCTCATGAATACTACCTTCATGAGCCAGTGAAGTGGCAGAGGGAGCCAGCACACTTGACGTGTCAGAATTGTGTGACTCTTCAGAGATGCCATGGTAGGTCATGTCAGGAATTTCTTTGTCCCGGAAGACACCATCAGCTCCTGGCTGAAGGAACTTTTGACTTCCACAAACTGAGGGCTTGGTTATATCAGAAGCAGAGGTTATGTACAAACCTGAACTACAGGGTGGCTTAGTACTGCCTTGGGACAGTTTGTAGCTAGGTGACAGGACTGTACCTGGTGGCTTTACTTCTTCGATATTTAGCCTGTGCCTAGGCATCTCTTCACAGGGCTGAATTTCATGTACATCAGGACTTGGACATAAAGAATGCACAGTCGCTGAGGGGCTGCTGGGATTGACCTTAGAGTCACAAGAGAACCAGGAATCCACAGATACCAGGGGGCTCTCTCTTGTAAGCTGCATGCCTTGGAGAGAGTTGGCTTGTTCAGAATAGCTTGCCTCCATTTCTGACTCAGGCTGCTCACAGTGGGGCTGGAACTCAGGATCAAGGTAAAATGAATTGCTCTTTGTCAGGAAGGCATTAGGCCTGACTCCTGTTCTGTGCTTGATAGGGCTAGGCATGCATGTTGCCTCCTGGTCTACTGCAGGTAGGGCGGCCTTGTGCAGGTGCCAAAAAGTCTCTGTAGGCATCTCATCAGAAGAACCAAGGAAAGGTTCCTCTTGCCTATCTTCTCCCAGTTCTTCAGCTTCAGTCAGGCTGTCCAGGGAAAAGCTCCTTTGTGCTTGACCACATAAGGTACTGTCTGAGGGCTTCAGGAGGTGTCTCACAGAGACTGAAATTCTGGCCCTTGAATGCCCATGGTTCATGGTGGAATGTTCATCCCCTGAGTCTTCTGAGGGGCTGTGGTACCCTTTCTCAACAAGTGAATCCTCAGATATTTGACTAATGTCACTTTCAGAGTTCTCTCGAGCTGGAAGATGCCATGTTCCCTGAAGGTCCTCTGGCTTCAGCCGCTCCTTTGGGACTTTGGCATAGACATAAGAGAGAGAATCCACTGAGTAACTGCTATCATTGTCAGATAAATCATTGTCCTTCTCTCTTACACAATCCCTTTTTATAGGTCTGGAATCTGTGCAGAAGGCCGGCGCGTCTGGATCCCCTGTGTTAGGTTGTCTTTTTAAAGAACTATCATGAGGTGAACGAGAGAACTTTTTGGCAATATCTCTGGCCCTAGCTGCCAGCACCCTTTGATGTTTTTTTGATGCCTTGCTTGGAGGTGTTGGTTTGGATTCTGTCTGAAAAGTCGTAATTACTTTCCCATGCCCAGCTGGTTGCTCGGCTCCACTGAGATAAGTAGAGTGGGCAGTGGTTTCCTTGGGGGCCTTGTAGGCTCCACAGCTCCCCTCTTTTTGCCATCCAGTTTGTGTGTTGCCAGCAGCTTCTAGTCCCTTAGCCCTTCTGGTCTGTGCAGCAGGGGTGTGGGTCCTTGAACCATTTCTTGACTTTAGCTTTTTAGTTGCTAGGCCCTGGGAAGACATCTGACAGGACTGCTTACTCAATAACTCAATTTCCTGGCTACTGACAGACTCATGGCTCACAGTGAGACAGGTGCCTTGGGTAGAGACTCCCTTCCTGGTTGAGGCTCCCCTGGCAGGATAGCGCCTCCAGCCTGGTGGATGGAGGCTGTTCCTGCCCCGGCAACCTGTTCTTGGAGGGTAAGCAGTAGCCTGGGGAACGCAATCTGCTGATAGGGTTTTTTCTGGTATTTGGTGAATTGGGTCAGGAACAGGTGGTGACATGGTAGAAGGATCCCAGTTCATGAAAGCACTGTGGAAATAAGGAAAGCCATCTTAGAAAAGTAATGTCCCCTACGTACTATCAACAGAAGGAATATAGCTCTGAAAGAGGATGGAAAGCAGGCCAATGCCACTCACCGTGTCCTACAGTCCTCTGCTCAATACATATAAAAGCAGACTGTTGACAACAGAACCCTGGCATTCAGAATTCTCAGATGCATACTGTCACTCAACCCCCGCCCTCAATGGCTTTATCTTAGGAAAAAGTTGAAATGAATTCTATTTCAAGCACTTGTCCATGTGAGGAAAGCAGAAACAATTGTAATCCTATAAAGACTCAAGCGGATAGATCTAAGAGGTGGTACTATCTACAGAACTCACCCATTCTGCACACTAATAAGAAACAGGAAAGAATGACTATAGGAACTTCAAAAACTTAACAGTAGGTGGCAGTATATAAATCCAATTAGATCTTGATTTGAAAATCCAATTCACATTTGAAGCATCTTGAGAAAATGGAGTGTGACCCGGGTTTAGATTCTATCACGCTATCAACCTTGATCTTGATATATATGATTTGGTAGGTATGACAGAATATATTTTTAGAGGTACATACTTAAAGAAATGGTGTTAAAATTACATGATGTTACTTTAAATACTTTGGAAGATAGGATGGTAGGACTAGGAATGAATGTAGCACATCTTTATAATTGCTGGAAATAGGTGCTGAATAAGTCTCGCAACTTTGTCCACGTTTAAAGTTTTCCCATAATAAAAAATTGGTTTTTCTGCCCAGTTATTTAAAGAACAAAAAGGTGAGCAAGCATAACAGCAACAGACATTGTGTAATCTTCTGAGCAAGGCCAAGGATACACAGAGCAAGACATGAGCCTCTACTCCAGGAAATCTGGGAGATAATATGCTTCCCACCCTGTGACAGCAGACAGCGAGTGAGGAGCAGAGGAAGCAGATCCAGAAAGGAGCCTGGGAGTCATGTGTCAGTTCAGAGAGGAGGCAGCCTGTGAGATCAAGGAGGCCTGTGGAGGTAGGACAGAGAGGAAGCTGCATCTGGACAGTCTAGGTCTAAAACATACATGCAAATGAGGCACGCTCCTTTAGAAGAAGAAGTGAGCTGGGAGCAAGAGTGGCTCTGCAAGGACAAGAAACAGCCTGACTGTGAAAAGATGCAGACAGAGGAGAGAAGCCTGAAGGACCAGAGGAATGAACACCTCTCCACCTCACACATGAAGAAGCCCTGGGGAGTAAAGAACACTGCCTGGACAGCTGGATTAACTCCAGTTCCTGGTGCACATCACTGGTACCTGTGTAGCTGGGACAGGCGTTGGCTGCAGAGCTTTCGGAGGCTTAGAGAGCTGCAAGTTGTCCATCTGCTTCTACGCTGAGAACCTGAGCGTGAGGTGTTAGAGCTGGAGACCCAACTTGGGGCCTTGGAGGCACCATCATCTGGGAGCCAAAAGAGTGCCCTGAGCTGCTCCAGTCTTCTCTGGGTCTCTAGCAGCCTCCGCTTCTTAATAATTCTCTCCAGCTGGAATGAGACCTTCTTCTGCCTGATGTTCCACACTGCAGCCCGAGAAGTGCGTGTCCACAAGCGCTGCAGCTGCAGCACCCTCTTCTGGCTTTGAACCAGAGGGGATGGTAGAGTCTGAGGATCTGTTGGACGCCAAGCATCAGGTGCCACAAAGGCCTCAAGTTCTTTCTCTTCTCCACTGTTGTCTTCTTGCTGTGCCTCCTGTAAGCTGGCTAGCCAGGTCTCGTCTCTGAGTAGCCACTGCTGGTCTGGGAACCAAAAACACCCAGAGAGAAGGTCAGCACTTTCTGCCTATGGCTGCCTAGACTCAGACATCTCCAGCCATGGCAGGAGCTGTGAGGAGTGGAATGGATTTGATAGAGTGGTGTGGCAAGTGAGAGCTATAGGGTCTCCCTACTGAAGGGGAAGGAAAGGAAGATGTGTAGGCCTCAATGTAACAGTGGACAAGTGGGGCGGGTGGAAATGCACAGACAAGCGTGCCACTGGAGGGACTCAGCAGAAGGTGCATCATTCTGAGGGGCCATAGAGCAGTCCATTTGCTTATTTCCAACCCCCTTGTGTGAGCTTCTGGTCTCTAAAAGAAGGGAGAGAACACCTAGTACAAAAGATTCCATTTTATCACAAAGACAACAAAAGCCAGAATACAGAAGTTTGGCAGCATGGAACTGAAGAAGGCAGGCGAAGCAGACACCTTAGACAAAGGCACCTACTGTCTTTTATCTGCTGACTGTTATGTATCTGGTCCAGTTCTGGGTCCTTCTGAACGCTACTCTGCCCTTCTACAGCCTGTTGCCTCAGATTCTCCACATAACATTGCTGTTGCTCAGTCTGGGCTTTGTGGGAGATCTCGCCATTTTTTGATGTCTGCTGGTCCTTGTCACACTCCTCTTCCAGCACTTTCCTGTGACAAAAGGTCCAGGGTCACCCAAGCAAATCAAACTCAGAATTAAGTCCCTCTGAGCATACTCCTGAATTCAACAAGGTAGAAAGAGCTTCAGACATCTGGCCTTGGAACAAACAGGTGTGTTGTCATAGGCAACTCATGAAGTCATAGAACAGGAACAGAGAGGAGTCATCAGATTATCATGTTCTTAGAATTGTGGGTTTAGCAGAAACCCAAATTCACTTTCATAAGGAAATTATGAGAGTAAAACATGTTTTTGTTGTTTATATTTTGTTTTGAGACAGAGTAACCCTATTTAGCCCTAACTGCCTGGGAACTCACTATATAGAGCAAGCTAGGCTTGAACTCATAGAGTTCCACCTGCCTCTGCCTCCTGAATGCTGGGATTAAAGGCAAGTTCAACCACATAGTTCATAAGGAAATCATAAGAGTTAAAGGCACAAAAAGCCAAGTGTGGGGTGGCACATGCCTTTAACCCTAATATTCTGGTTGCATAGGCAGGAGAATTATGAGTTTGAAGTTGGTTTTCCTGTCTCAAAAATAAATAAGTAAAATAAAAGATAGCTAAATTAAGAAGCTCTGTCCAGACTGGGGAGATGGCTTAGTGGAGAAAGCATTTGTCATGTGAATATGAGGATCAGGGTTTGGATCCCAGAATACATATAAAAGCCAAGCAGGCATGGTAGCTATCTGGAATCCCAGCTCTTGGAAGGCAGAGGATTCCCCAGTACAAGTTGACTAGTCTAGAATTGGCAAGCTTTGGTGTCAGTGAGAGACCCTGCCTTAATAAATAGAATGGAACCATTGAGAAATGCTGATGTCAACTTTAGGCCTACACACATACTCCAAACGTGTACATTCATATACACACACACAGAAGCACGTTGACCTTTAAAAAATGAAAGAACTGAAAGAATTAAGAGTTTCTACTAAAATTTCCCCCAGGAAATACAGAAAAAATAACTTCAGAAATACTGGAAAGAAAAACAGTTAACCCAAAATTTTGTACATATATTTATATATATGTAATATGTGTGCTTGTATTACAACTCCAAACCTGAGCCACAGTAATGGCTGTATTATAAACACAAACCCATCAGCGAGGCCTAGATAAACCCAGCTAAAACCCATAGAACATCAGATCCAAGAAGCAGAGTAGGGATCCATATATTCTGAATCCCCTGGGGTTACTCAGTTTTCTTCCCTGGGTGTTTCCCCAGTTCTCAGATTTACACTTGCTTGTTTGTAGGAGAGCGCTCATTCCTTCTGGGGAAGCAGCAGCTGCAGCAATTCTGCATGGGGCTGCAAGGAAGACTGCAGGATGACAGTATAATTACCCAAGCTGCCACACAGACTCAGCCAGAAGGATGCCTCTGCTAAGCACATTTTTCAAGTTTCCTGGGTAGGTAAAAAAAAAGAAAATAACTACGCTACATGTCTAGATGTGGTACCAAAACCAAGTTCTCGTTACTAGGCAGTCAAGGACCTATATCTAGCAATGGTTGCCTTTCATCTTAGGTAACTCCAGCATCCCCTAGATACTGCCTGGTCACCACCTATTGCCAGGACTCTGCTGTACCCTCTGCTCTCCCTGGCAGATGTCCTCTGCTATCTCAGGGCCTCACAGTCTGCAGCAGGATTTAGCAGTGGTTACTATTACTGTAGCAGCAGTGAGAGCTTCTTCTGTGATCTAGACATTTAAAGGTAAGTGTCACACCCCCCAACTTCAAATAAGAAATGCAAAGAGCACATCTTGGAGGACAAAATTCCTTCCTGGTACAGATCACTACTACAAGGAGAAAATGGCCATTTCCCTCCAGTTTAGAAAAAGCTCTGGCCCTCTGAAATGCTCCTCCAGGAATAAATGAGGAACAGCAGCCTAGGATGAGGGCAGCCCTGGAGCCAAGCCCAGTAAGAGTAGAAGGAAAGACTGCCCACAAATCCAGATGGGTTATGCATTTCCTCTGTCAGTTCCACCCCCTGGCCCCTTTGTCCAATCAGTAGCTTGGGAGGCATACCACCTAACAAGGGCTGGCACCAGATACTGGCTACTGTAGATGGATAGGCCCAGCACAACCTATAGGCCCTCAAGCTGGTGCTGAAAGGGCTTGATTCTGAATTCCTTCACTGTCCTCAGATAGAGAGCATCTTCCTTCTGAGTGTTGATGAAAGATCATGTCAGTGCCCATGGAGCTGAGGATTCTAAAGATTTTAAAGGTAGGAGGAGACTACAGAGCACTCTGGGGAGGACAGTGAGCTACCTGAGACAAGAGGACAAGGAAGAAAGGAAAGCAGCTTTCCTGGAGCCTCACAGTCACTGGGGCCATGGGAATGTGGGTATGCCCACTCAAATCCTTTGGTCCTTATCACAGGATCCCTGGAAGGGGATAGCCACACTCTTAATTTAGAGGTAAGGAAACAGGGTCAGAGAGTAAGTGACTGGCCTGAGATCACACAGCCTTTATGTGGCAGGGCCAGGTGTCAGTCTGTTTGCCCAATTCCAATGTACCTTTTCTGTATCCGGAGCTCTTTATGTTGCAGTGTTGTTCCCGATAAACTCTGCACTTTGAGAAAAACCAGGTCTTCACTCTGTCTTCCTAACAGAAACCTTACCCAAAACAAAGTCTCCTTCATAGCTTCCCCACAAGACAGGAAATCCTCTCTGAGAAAACAAGAACTTTGGCCTTAGATCCTAATTCTTCTTGGCCTGGATATCTTTGTCAGCTTTTCCAACTTGCCCTTCACTCCACAGGACCCCAAGACCTAGGATCACACTCCCTTAAACCTCTGCTGTAGCAAAGTTCAACCTGTGAGCACTCTGTGAGGGTGCACTGCTCACCCCCACCCCAGTCCGACAGCTCCCACTATTGTGTCAGACCCAACACTGTCTTCATCTGCTATTGACTGTTCCTGACCAGAAGAACCTTCTGTGAATCCTGACTCACAGGCGCTTGGTGTTCTTGCTAGTGATCTCACTGGTACCAAGTCCTCTGCTGAACTTTCCTACAGTTAGATATGATGGTGACAGTATAGGTCAGTCTAGCTAAAAGGAACAACAGAGCTTCCAGGGGCAAACCCAAGAAGGAGATTCTGTATAAGAAGGATAATGAACTAGAAAACCAGCTGCTGTCAATTGCATATAAAACTAACTCAAAAGTTCAAAGTTTATCTCAAAGCAGGTGAAGCAGGAGCAAGGACAAAATCTCCAGATGCTTTCTTATTGTCCTCATAGGCCCTGCTGTCTCATGTGCACAGCTATGCATTGCTGGTTATGAGAGAATAAACAAGAGATTAATTTTTTAGAATCCAGAGGAAGCCATATAATCTGGAAGCTAACAGAAGTATGTAGTATGAGCTCATGCACCGGGATTTAAAGGGAACTGTGGGGAAGTGAGGTTTAGAGCAGTACCAAAGATGGCTGCTAACACTTGACAGTTATGTCTTGTTGGCAGGGGAGATGCATGTCTTTCAGAGAGGAGAGATGAAATACCAAGCAGGAAGCAAATTAAGGCCATGGCTACCTGAGTTACAAACTCTGCATTCAGTTCAGCATTTTCAGACTACTCATGGTTAGTTTTTCATTGCTGTAGCAAACACTTGAGAGAAAACGCTTGAGAAAAGGATTCATCTTAGCCCACTAGTTCAGAGGCCCCACACCTCCACAGCTTGGGGCATGAGCATCACTGTGGGGGATGGTGCAGAGTGGCTCACCTCATGGTCAATGGAAGGTAGAGAGGGAATGGGGGAGAATGATGCACCCCCAAGAATGCACCTCCAGTAACCTACTTCCTCCAGCTTTACTCTGCCTCCCGAAGGTTCCAGAACCTCAAAGGGTATGCTACAAGATGGAGCCTGCGGGGAGCCTTTCATTTTCAAGCCATAATACTTGTTCAAGTCAATCAGGACCAGATGTGATCAGACCTTTGTTGTTAATAAACCCTTCCCAGTTCCATTCCGTTATGGACTAAGAAGCAAAGCCAGGAGACTCCACTGGTACAAGCAGCAGATTCTCACCTCTCTTTCCAAAGGACAGGACAGAGACCCAGTCTTGAAGCAGTGACATCTCCGTCCAAGTCCAACCATTCCAAAGAGCAACTGCTGTCAAGAGCCTCTCCAACCTGGGATAAGGAAAAAGCAACGAGCCCAATGGAGCATGCAAAAGCTTCCCTAACAGCCACTCAGAAATCGCAGCCAGGCTTACCTTAAGCCTGTTGTGCCGCAGCAAAGCAGCCTCAGCTGGGTGGTTAAATCGGAACTTCTGTGCTTTCCCCAGGGTGATGACAGCTCCTTTGACACACAGACAAGAGTTCAGTCCATGATTGTGCTCTGAGTACATACTGTTAGATAAATTTTGCTAAGTTGATATGTATTAATTATACATCTTGCAATTACAATCAGATAAAAAGGACAAGTTTCAGGTAGCATAGTCAGAGAAACCTCATGAAGAGGCAGACTATGAGTTCAGTTTCAGAGAACAGGATTTGAATGGATTAGTACTAGAGTGATATTGACACCAAGTCTTTACAGCACACTAAGAACAACTTCAAAAAACAAACATACAAACTTCATCCAATCCTGCCTTATGCTCCCATTATCTCAGATGGAGAAACTAAGGCTCAGATAAACAAGCACAAATTTTCACGAGTCATTCTCTACTCTTGGGTCCTAGAAGGAGGATTGTATTAAGAAGTCTTCGGGTCTCGGTGCAGAGGTTGAATAACACATGATTGACGCTTGCTTTATTGAGCTCTGTGGGGTTCTGAGGTTGAGGATGTCCATCATTCATGCAGATATACACAGGGAGGTAGACACTCCTACCTTGAGTCAGACGGCAGGAAGCAGTGACCTCTCGGCCATTGACTGTACAGCGTGCCCCTTGGGTAGGCCGGAGAATGACCACCCCACAAGTGCTAGTGATTGTGCAGTGGTCCCTCTCAATCCACTGGCCCTGAAGGACTAAAGAGGTGTGGGGGAGGGGTAACCTGAGTGGGGAAACCATTCAGGAGAATGACTCTTCCAGTTTTTGCAAGATCCAACCCAACAGCTGACAAGGAAAGAATACCCACCACCTGAAACCACCCTCAACGTCTCCCCCTAGATAAGCCTCCTCCTTCCAACTTCCAGACCCAAAAGCTAGCAGCAGAAAGAGAAGCAGACCCTTAATGCTTCAGAGACTCCTTTTCTCTCCAAAACCAGTAGTAAACTTTTCAGGCACAAATGCTGCCTATGTGTCAGACTACCTACCTATGTCCTGTTCCTGGTCTGAATCAATCCTCCCTATTTTTGTTGTCCCCTCCTGTGGGGAGGAAAGAGAGAAGGCATTTCACAAAGAATACACAGAGACTCAGCCCTGCCCTCAGAGCACAGTCCACACTCATGTGGAATTGGGGTCTTCCCATGCCCATCTCAGCATTGTCAGAACCATTCCCAACTTCAGTCTGGGCTGTCCTGCCTTCCATCCACTTGCTCTGCAGTCCAGGAGGACAGAGGGAAACAGTAACACTATAGGCGTACACAGCACTGACTAAGTGCAAAGCCCATCAAGTGCTGACAAACTCTGAAGTCAGGGAATAGATACAGCTGTTGGTCAGAAATTCTCCAGTAAAAGGGACAGACATATACTTCATTCTCATAGCAGCTAAGGTTAGTGTGGCCTGTGTTTGATCCAGGAGACTCAGAGACTTTCTATGAGACTTATGAATTGTTACCTTCTTGCTTTGCAGAGGAAGCATAACAGATGCCAAATTCTATGAAGGGTAAAGCACAAATAGGGGGAGATGCTTCTAGAGTCAAAAGGAACTGGAAGAGAGTAGAAGACAGCACAGGCAACCAGTGTTAATATAAGCAAACCACTGAATTAGTAAAAGACTAGGGCCTTTGGGCCCCAGGATTATAACAAATCTACTATAGAACATACACTTTATTAGGGCAGAGATGCTAACTTGAAGGCCCATCGTCACCATTTCTTAAGTAGACATTTGCTATGTCCCAGGTATTATGCTGAACGTTTTGTAGACATCTTTTTGTTTGCTTGCTAGTTTTTAAAAAAATGTTGTTTTTTTGAGACAGGATCTCTCTGTGTGGTCCTAGCTGTCCTGGAACTCGCTCTGTAGACCAGGCTGACCTCAAACTCACAAAGATCCACTTGCCTCTGCCTCCCAAGTGCTGGAATTAAAGGCATGCACCACTACCACCCAGTTTTTGCTTGCTGTTTGAGCCAGTAACCACTGTGTATCTTGGGCTGGACTTGAACTCTCACCTTCCTGCCTCAGTCTCCCAAGGGCTGGGATCATTAGCATTTACAATTATGCTTGGCTTTATTTAATACTTTAACACTCCAAATGCTGGTATTACTATTTCCGTTTGTCTGTCTGTCTGTTTTGTTTTGTATTCCAAGACAGGTTTCTCTGTGTGTAGCCCTGGCTCTCCTGTACTTCACTCTGTAGACCAGGCTGGCCTTGAACTCACAGAGATCTGCCTGCCTCTGCCTCCCTAGTGTTGGGATTAAAGGCATGCGCCATCACTGCCCCGCTTACTGTATCCGTATTATAGGCCAGAAATCTGAAGCTCATAAGGGAGTAAATTGCCTAGAAAACCCATTTGCTAAGTAGGAAAGCTGTGGCTACAGCTCAGGTCTCTGAACCCCCAGCCCATGTTTTTTTAGCCTCACCATAACACTGCCCTAAGTGGGAGGTTTTCTAAGTGCCTGAAATCACCACTAGGCCACACTTTCAGGAACAAGAACAGGGAGACCTCGTAGGTTTCCCAAGACAGCATGTGAGAAGAATCCTGGAAGCAATGAAGTTCTGGTTTGCCCTATGCCCCTCTACCTCTCCTCCCTGAATACAAGTCAATAGTTGCCAGCCTCTACCAACACGGCCCAGGGAGGAGTATGATGGCTGATCTTGGTTGTCGACTTGACTATATTTGGAAACCACCAAAACCCCAGCAGCTGGGCACAGGGTTTTAGGATGCAGCCAAGGAAATTCTTCTTTGAGGTGAGAAGACTCACCCTGTGGTGGTTTGAATGAGAATGGCACCCACATTATCATGTTGAATGCTGAGCCCCCAGTTAGTGGAACTGTTAGGGAAGGATTAAGACGTATGGACTTTTCAGAGGAGGTATATCACTGGGTTGTGACATTTTAAAAGCTCACACCAGGCCTAGTCTTTAACTTTTTCAACTTTGCAACTTTTAGATCAGATGTGAGCTCTCGGCTACTGCCCCAGTGCCATGCCTATCTGCCTGCCTGCTGCCTAAGGGTCATGGACTAACCCTCTGAAAACATAAGGAAGCCCCCAATTAAATGATTTTTTAAAATAAGTTGCCTTGGTCATGGTGTCTCTTCAGAGCAACAGAATAATAACTAAGACACACTCTAAATCTGGGCCACACCTTCTGGTGTCAGCCTGTATCAAGGGACATGGAAAGAAGCTCCTTGGCTTTTTGCTTGCTTGTCCTCACTCCTGCTGGCAAGCCCATCTTCTCTGCTGCTAAGGCATTCCTTCCCAGGTGTTACAACCTACTTCTTCAGGATTCCAATGGAGACTTAAGACCAGATGAGTCCCTGTGGACTGAACAACTACTGGATTCTTCTGGGAGGCTGCCACTGTTTGACCAGCTCTAAGCCACTCTAATAAATTCCCCCTCCACACTCCCATTTTATCAGTTTTATTTCTCTGAAGAACCCTAACTAATACAATAGGTTAAAACTCTTCATGTTAATTTAGGGACTCTTGATGCTAGAGTACATTCCCCCCAAAAGGATAAGAGCCACATAATATCGTGAAACTATGACAGAAAGCTCTCATATAACAAGCACTTCGGTGGCCCTTTGTTTGCTGTTCTTACTTTTGCCTCTTTCCACAGGCAGTTGGTGACCCAAAGGCATCACAAGGTACCAGCCCTCTCTGCTCTATCCACTCTTCCTGTCCCACTGAGGAGCTTTCCAATGTGGCCCAAGAGAAAACTGCTGGCAGTGTATTACCAAGGGACTAGTTTCAGGTCTGTGACCAAGTAAGCAACTAAATAAAAATGTAAAGACTCTTGGATCACTATTATTGTATAGTTATTTAAGCCACAATCAAAACAAATCATAATAATATGGGGATGGTGCTGAAGAGATGGCTCAGGGATTAAGAGCACTGGCTGCTGTTTTTTTTTTCAGAGGACCTAAGTTCTGCTTCCTCTGTCTTTCTCCCCTCTTCCTCTCTAGGAAGTGCTGTGATGGAGATGGGGTGGGGTGGAGGGCAGGCAATTGTCCTTGTTGATTCCCAGGTTGAATGAAAGACAGTGTGAGAAAAAAACTTTCTAGTCTCTTGAATTTGCCCATGTTTAAGCAGCCTGTATTTGTAGTTTAGAAGTTCTGACATTGTATTCTTCAGAAATAAACTGGCCTCAGACTCAAAGGAGCTTCCTGGGTCACCTTCTGAGCAGCAGGACTGCAGGCACATGGCACTAGCCATTTGCACAAACCCAAACAAGCCCTACCTGTGGCTGGATCAGATTCCTGAGCACAAGTCCTAAGGCAGCTCTGAGCCCTTGGTCTGATCCCTAAGAATATGGCTATGACGTCAGGTTTCCTCCCTTCACTTTGGGCCAGTGCTCAGGAAGGGGGAGCTGCACCAGCCTCCTCACCTTGAGATGATAAAGCACAACACCTGTGCTGAGCACATCGTCTTCCAAAGCCATCAGGTGTGGCAGGCTGGAGTCGATGACCACCCGAGCCCTCCTCCTGTTGATGTCCACACCGTAATGCTCCATGATGGCCTGCCAGTCATTCCACTTCTGTGCCCACTCTCGAGCCAGCTGATCCATCTGCAGAGGGACAAGAGATGATAGACCCCCTGAGTAGGGAGCAGACTGAGTCCACTTCTCACCGTTTCCCCGTCTTTCATTCCTCATGCTCCCTAGAGAGGCCCCTGTACCTTCTCATCTGTGAGTGCTTCCTGTGTTTTAAGCTTTCTTCAATAAGCAAGTATTACTTTCATAAACGGAAGCTCCTTCAATAAATGCTTACATTTTTCTTCAATGAGCATACATTGTTCTTTTAACTAGAAAAAAATGAATGTGTAGTGGTTTGGACATGAAATGCCTCACAGGCTCCTGTTTTAAAGACTTGGTCCCCAGCTGGTGTCATTGTTTTCAGAGGCGATGGAAACTTAGTAGGTGGGACCTAATTGGAGGAAGTAGGTCACAGGAAGTATGCCTTAGAAAGATGTAGCATGTCCGTGATTCCTTCCTGCCTCCCTTCCCATGTCCCAAACTGCCATGAAGTAATTACTTTGTTGCATTATGTTCCCTTACCACAGGCCTGCAGCAATGGGCCAGCAACTATGGATCATGGAAACCTATAATCTGTGAAAACTCAAAGCCTGTACGTGATTGGATGTGTGCACTTCTTCCACTTCCATTGTTCAGTCATGTGTTGTGTGTGCACGTGTACGCACAGGTGTGACTACATGCAGAAGCCAGAGAGGTCACTGGGTAATCTTATTCTACCTGTCTTTTTACATGGGTTCTGTGGAACTGAACTCAGGTCCTCATGTTTGTACAGCAAGATTTCTTACCCACTGAGCAATGCCCTCGGCCCCAAACTAACCTTTCTTCCTCTCAGGTAGCTCTAACTCACAGCAACAGAAACCTAACACAAAATGTTATTTCAATTAATTGATGCTTCTCAGACATCAATACTTACTTACAATTACGCTTCCTGCATTGTTTTTTGATGTGAGAGTGTCATATATCAATCTGTTGATTTCATTGGTTAAGCAATAAAGAAACTGCTTGGCCCTGATAGGTTAAAACATAGGTGGGAGGAGTAAACAGAACAGAATTCTGGGAGGAAGAGGAAGTGAGCTCAGACTCAACAGCTCTGCTCTCTGGAGCAGAGACGCCATGCTCCCCTCTCCCAGGCGGACGCGATTCAGCTCCGACCCAGGATGGACATAGGCTAGAATCTTCTCGGTAAGTGCACCTAGCTGTGCTACACAGATGATTAGAAATGGGCTAAATTAATATGTGAGAATTAGCCTAGAAGAGGCTAGATAGAAATGGGCCAAGCAGTGTTTAAAAGAATACAGTTTGTGTGTTGTTATTTCGGGGCATAAGCTAGCCAGGTGGCTGGGGTGCTGGGGACGCAGCCCCGCCGCTTCTATTACTACAGTTTTTTCTTTTGTTTGATTGTTTGAGACAATGTTCTCTGTGTTGCCCTGGCTGTCCTGGAACTCATTCTGTAGACCAGGCTAGACTTGAACCCAGAGATCCACTTGCCTCTGCCTCAAGTATTGGGATCAAAGGTGGATGACACTGCCCATCTCTGCTTCTTAATCTTATGTGCTCCGTTTTCAGGATTCCTCTTCTGACCTAACATTTCTTCCCATATATGTATCACCTTGAGTTACATTAAGTCTGCACCTGGCTCAAAGGTACACAAAGCACTGAGAGGAATCTGACCAGGCTGTATGGAACTTGACTAAAGACATGTAATAATAAAATTGCATCAATAAATGATAAAGTACTGAATAATTACTAAATGCCAGGAACACAGGGTTTCATTTCTTTTTTCTGCTCATATTCAGTCTCATTCACCCTGTCCTGTCCCTCTCCACTCTTGTGGGTCCCTCAGAGTTTTAAAAGTAAATGTATCAAAGCCTAGAGTCCTTAGGTTAAGGACTGAGGGACATGAGGGAACCATGTTAAATTCAAGATCTTTGCTTCCTTTTGCTAGAAACTGAAATGTATGCAGAAAACTTATCCTGGGAATAGAAGAACTAAGAACACTCAGAAAAAATTAGATTTAGGAAAGCAATTTTCTCATAAGGGAAATACTTAGGAAAATATAAATAATTCAGATACAAGTATTTAAAATATTCTAGCAAAATTATTTAAATTTTTCATTAATGGCTTTCACCTTCTGTTCACAACTTTCCTTGATGAACACTGTTTTCCCTGCAGCACATGTGTGCACACTGTCACTGTCTCACATCACTCTCCATTCCACGGCTTTGCTGATGTCATTTTCCCCTCATGCGAAGTGCCCCTCTCCCTCTCTATCAGTCTTTCAAAGTCTAGCTCAAACCTGTTCTCTGCTTTCCAGCATAGGACAGTTGCTCCAGAAATGACAGGTATGATTTCTTCCTTATCAGACACCTCGTGAAGCACAGCAACCTGTGTATCCAAGTGGCCTGTGGCCACCTGAGTAAAGACTCTTGTATCCCTTGAACGTTCACTCGAAGTGCTCAATCTGTGAATACATGCTAGTTATCTGACTAGAAAATTTCCTCGATTTGCTGACTAGAAAATCATTTTTTCAGCCGGGCGGTGGTGATGGTGCACGCCTTTAATCCCAGCACTCGGGAGGCAGAGGCAGGTGGATCTCTGTGAGTTTGAGGCCAGCCTGGTCTACAGAGCTAGTTCCAGGATGGGCTCCAAAGCTACAGAGAACCCTGTATCAAAAAAAAGAAAAAAATGAATTTTTCTAGGCTACTCACACTATCCAAAAGAAGCTGTCATGAACCCGAGAAGATAAATACAAAGAAAGCCATTTACCATCAAGCCTCAATGGGAAGAAAAATGATCTCTGAACTAGATAGATCCTCTCTGCCCCACCTACGTGAGGAATACCTGGAGAGATCAAACTTATCTCCAGGATACTGGAAAGTTCAACTGGGTCCACTAAACAAACACACCCACCTTCAGGTCATTCCGGAGGACCACCTCCTTCAGGCTTTCATCCAGTTCATCGTTTAATGAGCGGATGTTCCTCTGCACAGAGAAGGGGGGTGGTCAGTTCTGAAGTTTTCTCAGTATCAACTACAAATAAGTTCCATCATATACACTTGAGAAGGATAAAGTATAGATAAAAGTATAGACTTCACCACCAAAATTAGAAATAAGTCAGGAGCATTTAGTATTTGGGCTCATATGAATACAAAGGAGAATTAAAATAAAATTTTCTCTAGGACCCAATTCCCCATATCTGTCTCCACAGAGAGCAAAGCCAGTAAGGCCAATGTTATCTAGACATGAGATGATACTAGAAGGCATCCAGCTCATCTGAAGCTGCACAGAAAAATCAGGACATCCTTCTGCCTTTGCTCCATCCCTGCCAACTGCAAACATGAAGAGAGGGCTCAGCCGGTGGAAGCACTTGCTCTGCGAGTTCAGCTACCTGAGTAAGAACCTAGAGCCCAACGTGGACGGAGAGAACCAACCTGGAAAGTTGTCCTCTGACCTCTACATGAATGTGTGCACCCCTGGTCACACAAACACACAATAACATAAAACTTGAACATACGGAGTATGACAAGCCCCAGGTGTTCAAGGGACAAGACCATCCGTCATTAGAACATGGAAGAGTTTTGGCTACCACATACCAGTTCAAAGCTCAGCAGCATGGCTTTCAGCCTATCAATCTCCTCCCTGAGTTCTCGGATGAGCTTCACACTCGCATCCTGAAACAAAGAGAACTCAGTCACCACTGGCTCATACTAGGTCCCAAACTGCTGTGAAGTGCAAGTTGGAGAAGTGTTATTCTTTGGGAGTGACTTTTCAAAGTATAATCCCAGGACCCACGGTATCAGCTTCATCCAAGAACTTGTAATAAATGCAAACTCTGGCTCCACCCCAGAAAGCAATTCTTGAGGGTTAAGGCTCAACCATATCTCACAAACTAGTCAGGTGTTTCTTTTGCATATGAGCTTTGAAAATCATCACCTTAGAGCAGGCCAAGGAAGCTCATAAATGCTAATCGTCCTATATGATGACTAAATCTGATACATGCCTAATCATACTGCCTTCGAAAACAGCCCCTAGGTCCTTTAGGTATGTCTGTTCCCCAGCTGTGCCCCTGCCCTGAAACTTTTCACTGAATCTCCAAGAAGTAAGAAACATTTGCAATGTTCCTATCATTACTCAGTTTTCGAAACAATTTCTTCCTACTCCCGGTTTAATCCAAAAGAGAAGTCAACTGCAATTTATATAATAAAACTCAGGCACAATTATCACTATCAATTAAAAATAAAAGCATCAAACAGAAGCTTCCAAATGACTTTTCTTAGAGTGACGGTCATACACTAGGGCTCTAAGAGGAATGGCTGTAAAGAAATGACTGAAGGAAGTTATTCATAAAATTATTTGTTGATAACAGTAGAGAGATCAGTGAAAGGCAGAGACTACATTGGGAGAAAAGAGCATCGTTTGCAGAATACAAGTATGGATGAAAACGATGCTCATTAGTGTTTTGTCAACTTGACACAAGCCAGTCATCTGGTAAACTGGAACTATCAGCCTGGCCTATAGGTACTCCTGTGGAGTGTTTTCTTGCTTAATGATTGATGGGGAGGGTCAAGCTGACTGTAGACAGTGCCACTTCTAGGTAGCTGGTCCTAGGCTGTATAAAAAAAATCAAGGTGAATGAGCCATGGAGGAAAAGCCAGCAAGCAGAGTTGCTCCAAGTTCCTATCTCAGCTTCCCAAGATGATGGGCTGTAATCTGTATGCTGTGGATAACCCTTTGGTGGAGTTCTGAAAAAGACATGCCCCATAAGTTATAGACATTTGAATATTTGGTCCTTAGTTAGTGGCTGTTTGGGGAGGACTAGGAGGTGTGGCCTTGCTAGAGGAAATATGTCACTGTGAGTGGGTTTTGAGGCTTCAATGCCATTTCTAGCTAGCTCTCTCCACCTCCTGCTTGAGATTGAGATGTAAGCTCTACCTCTACTCCACCATCATGAACGCTAACCCTCTGGGATCATAAACCCCAAATAAACCCTTTCTTCTCTAAGTTGCCTTGGTCATGGTGTTGACCACAGCGACAGAAAAGTGGCAGATGCACCTTTTCTCCCAGGTTGCTCTTCTTCAATGTTTTACCACCACAGAGAAGAAGCTAACTATGACAAATGAGAAAGAAACAGAGAAAACAATAAGGAGAACTTCAAACTGTGTCAGACAAGGACGTCCCATGAAGCCTTACCTCGTTCACCTGTGGCCTGTTGATGATGTTTTTGGCGTTGGATGCGTATCTCAGCGTACTCATGGTCTCGCTGTAGCTGGTGTGTGCAGGGGACACAGCTAAGGTAGAAGGACAGAGCTGAGAAATACACTGATGGGCCCTTCCATCCCAGCTCTTATTTCTTCTTTTTCTTCTTTTTATTTGGTTTTCAGAGACAGGGTTTCTCTGTGTAACAGCCCTGGCTGTCCTGGAACTAGCTCTTGTAAACCAGGCTGGCCTCTAACTCACAGAGATCCACCTGCCTCTGCCTCCCAAGTACGGGGATTAAAGACGTGCACCATCACTGCCCGGCTCAGCTCTTACTTCTAGTCTTACTGCTAATGTCTTCACTGCATGAGACACTCTTGAGAGACTGAGGAACATTAAGAGTCAGTATATTTTCTAGGCCCAATACTAGCTCCAAACAGCAGCAGATCCAGCATCCCACTTACTGGCAACCATGATGGTTCTGGAGTTGCCTCCGAGGCTTTCCTTCAGCAGCCACGTCAGTACAGAGTCCCGGTATGGGATGTAAGACTGCCTCCTCACAGATGCCCCTCCACTGCTGGTCCCAGATGTAGTGTTAGGGATCCCACTGTCACCCCCACTGCTGGCTGCACTGCTGAGGCTCTGGCAGCTGCTGAACACTTGGGAGTTCTGGGCTTGATAGATTGAAAAAAAAAACAGAAGTACAATACAGAAGGAATTATGAAGCAAATACATAAACAAAACGACTACAGAACTTAGAGCAAGTATCATACTCTTTCTGCACGTGACAGGAGGCTTTAAGTCTGAGTTTACGTCAGACTTTGGACTCAGGATATGGACTGATTCAACGTGATTCTAGAATGATGGTCACTTGTATTCTAAAACCACCAGGTTTTCATGCTCAAACCAAAAAGTGACCTTATCAAAAAATAATCTTGTGTTACCCTATTATGACAAGATGAAAATACTATGAGTTATCCCAAAGTCTCCCTCCCCACTCCAATTACCCTGAGTCCATCAGTAAAATACCTAAAGTGGAGATGACAATTCCCAGAGTCACAAGGGACTTGTTGATATTGGCACCTTCAGTAATCCGGTCCTTGCAGTAACTGGGATCTGCTCTCTCACTAAAACAGACCAAAAAAAGTAAAAAATATAGCAAACGGGACACTATCCTACAATGTTTTGGGCACATCATTTTGTAATAGATCCATAGAATCAGTTTCCCTTATGTAACTCTTTCCTGTGTCATTATCCTCAAAAACTTTTCTTCTTTCTGGATGCAAGCAGAAGCAGATCCAGCATCCCACTTCCTGGCAACTACAATGGTCTGTAGTTGCCTCCGAGGCTCTCCTTCAGAAGTCAGGTCAGCAGAGTCCCGGTAGGGGATATAAGACCATTAGACTACCTGCCTCCACACAGGCCCCCTCTGGAAATCTTGCTAGTCATTTTTTTTAGGGGAAACTGCCAGAGCACCTGAGGCCAAACAATGCCCATCTATAGTACTGATGATAACAGTCTCTCACAGGTAAAGATGCCCATCTACAGTACTGAAGATAGCAATCTCTCACTGGTAAAGATGCCCATCCATCTAGGTACTGATGACAGCAGTCTCTCACAGGTAAAGATGCCCATCCATCTAGGTACTGATGACAGCAGTCTCTCACAGGTAAAGATGCTCATCTATCTATGGTACTGATGATAGCAGTCTCTCACAGGTAAAGATGTCCATCTATCTAGGTACTGATGATAGCAGTCTCTCACAGGTAAAGATGCCCATCTATCTAGGTACTGATGATATAAGTCTCTCACAGGTAAAGATGTCCATCTATCTATGGTACTGATGATAGCAGTTTCTCACAGGTAAAGACTTGGTTTAAATTCACATTTTGATGGTTTAATGATAGTATCTGTGCATAAACTGTCTCAAAATTCTATCCCTCTTTTTAGTTTGTTTTTATTTTTTGTTTGTTTGTTTGTTTGTTTTTTCGAGACAGGGTTTCTCTGTGGTTTTGGAGCCTGTCCTGGAACTAGCTCTTGTAGACCAGGCTGGTCTTGAACTCACAGAGATCTGCCTGCCTCTGCCTCCCGAGTGCTGGGATTAAAGGCGTGCGCCACCACCGCCCGGCTTAGTTTGTTTTTTAAAACAGGGTCTCATTATTTAACGCAAACTAGCCAGGAACTCACAGAGATCAACCTGACTCTGCTTCCTGGGTGCTGGGATTAAAGATATGTAACCATCATGCCCACCTCAAAAATCCATTCTTAATGAAAAGTAGTAAAAATTTCCACGTTTGATTAGCTGATACATTTTCAGACAGGCCTTAGCTTCCTCAGCCCCTCACCCCATTGCTGTGCTAGGGCTAAACCCTGTCCTTAGTGCATATAGGTAAGTGTACTCTACCACTGAAAGCCCCAGTGCCCACCACACCTTCATGCTCGGTTCTTAACAGAGTGCTGTTAGTTACTGTTTCTTTTGAAATTGTAAATTGAGAAAATTTGCCTTATGTTATCATATACATTATTCTCAAATTTTTCTTCATCCTAAATATATATTTAGCTACAATATAAATACAGTATGAATATTTACTTCTAATAACTTAAAGCACAGTAGCTTTTAAAAAAATTTGCCATGTGGTGGTGACACACACCTTTAATCCCAGCACTCAAGAGGCAGATGCAGGTGGATCCCTGTGAGTTTGAGGCCAGCCTGGTCTGTAGAGTGAGTTCCAGGACAGCCAGGACTGTTTCACAGAAAAACCTTGTCTTGAGAAAAAAAAAAGGCAGAAAAAAGTAAAGTAGTGTATATAGCTACATATTATTGATATTAAATTAATGGAAAAGTATATTGATTCAGTTTATTTCTTAAGACAGTTGTTTCTAATTCTGTGTTTTTTGTCAAAAAGACAGGGCTTCTCTGTGCAGGCCTGGCTGTCCTAGTACTCATTCTGTAGACCAGGCTAGCTTCTAGCTTGGAGATTTACCCGCCTCTGCCTCTGCCTCTCAAGTGCTGGGATTAAAGGCTTTTGCCACCACCACCTGGTGTGCTTGGGGAGTTTTAAAAGGTCCCAACAGGCATTTCAGACTAAGAACCCAGGATATGGAGGAATTTCCCAGTTTCTGACTTTCAAGCTAGCATTCAAGAATTCCTTCTTTTATTTTTTTTTCTTTTATAATCTCAGGATGATTAAAACATTCAAGCAAGGCAAACCCACGATCATGCCTATCTCACGTAAGGTGGTCAAGGAGCCGGTCACTGTCAAGGGAGCAATAATTCTCCCTGGCTTTGAAATCCCAATTACCTGCCTGCTAGGTCCACAAGGTTGATCTTGCTGGCAGTCTCTGAGGGGAGGTTGTTCTGTAGCGTTGCCTAAAAACAAAGACTGTTTCAAGTTGTCATCCAGAATGATCTGCATTCCTCCCAGGATACTGTCCTAACTGTGTGCCAAGTTCCACATCAGACGAGCACACACTGTCTGATAAGCATCCCCTCACTGAAATCACCAGACCCATAACTGAACTAAGTGTGGACATATTCTGAACTGTTATGAGCAAAAGATAAGAGGAAGACACTGAAGAAGTCAGTTGTATCAGAGAACATGTAAGCATAAAGGCAGGAAGAAAGAAAGTAATGAATACAAGAAAGTAATCACGAGGCATAAGAAAGAAATCAGTAAGAAGGAACAACCTACCTGTGCATAGTGGATAGTGAAAATGGCATGAGATCTGCTGCTGGCCTCATGAACATGGGTGGCTGCTGTGATCCTGTGTATACAAGGCAAGACAGTTAGTACAGGGACTGTTTAAGCATGGTGGACCTAAGGGACTTATGTGAACATAAGAAATGTTAGGACTAAAAGAAAAAAAAAAGTTAGGACTGAGGTTAGTGAGATGGTTTAATGAGTGAAAGCACCTGCCACCAAGTCTAACAACCTGATTTCAATCCCTAGAACCTACATGGTAGCTCACAACCATCTGTAACTGCAGGCCTAGGGATCAGACACCCTCTTCTGGCCTCTGTGGGCACAGCACACATGTAGTGCACATACATTCCAGCAAAACAATTATTCATATGAAAGTGAATACATTTAAAAAAGAAATTCAAGTAGTTCAAAGAAGGCAGAAGCAGCACTCTAGGTGCTGTTACTGACAATAAGGGGAGAGTGATGTCACACTAGCGAACATTAAAACAGTTTTGAAATTATAAAAGCAAAAATCCAGAGTGTGGTGGTTTGAAAGAAAATGGCCTCTGAAGAAAACAGCATTATTAGAGGCCTTGTTGGAGGAAGTGTGTCACTGTGGGGGCAGGTTTTGAGGTCTCTTTTGCTCAAGTTTCCTCAGTGTGATTTTCAGGTAACTTTCTGTTGCCTGTAAGATGTAGCTCTCAGCTACTCCAGCACCACGTCTGTCTGCATGCCGTCATGCTCCCCATCATGATGATAATGGACTGAACCTCTGAAACTGTAAGCAAGCCACCCCAATTAAATTTTTTTTTAAGTAAGAGTTGTCGTAGTCGTGATATCTTTTCTCTACCTCCCAATGCTGGGAGGGAGAGACAGGAAGATCCCAGACTGCTTGCTAGGCAACAGGTCTAGCCAATCAGATTTGGTGAGAGACCCTGACATAAAACTAAGGTGGAAGGCAGTAGAGAAAGACATCTAACATTTACTTCTATATATACACATACATGAATACATAAATTAATAAACAAATACATATTTAAAAAACCAACAAGCACACACATAGGAAACAAAAAGACAAGTGTGGTATAAATGTGTTTCAAGAAATCTCACAGAGAGTTAATAAAGCAGAATATTCATCCAGCAGCATAAAAAAGCCTTTGGAGCTGAGATCTTGAATTACACTGATGCCATGTTTAAATGAGGAGCTCACAGCCACTCTTGGAAATCCATCCCAGTGTTAATCCCAAAAATCGTTGAGTCTCCCCTTTATCTAAATCTAGGTCAATGGTCCTTCCATCTCTGAGTGTTAGGATTACAGCTGTGCATCATCACACATGGCTATTACAGTGGTAGGGGTCATACCCAGGCAAATGCTATACCAACAGAACTACATCCCCAGCTCCTCGAACCCCTTTTTATTATTTTTTTCAAAATATTTTTAATTTACTTATTTAATTATTGTATGTGTATGAGTGTTTTACCAGTATGTATGTATGTGTTCCACATATATACTGGTGTTTGAAAAGGTCAGAAGAGGCTTCAGATGCCTTGGAAGGGACTGCAGAGATGGCTCAGTAGTTGAGAGCACTGACCGCTCTTCCAGAGGACTCAGGTTCAATTCTCAGCACCCATATGGCAGCTCACAACTGTCTGTAATTCTGGTTCCAGGGGACCAGACACCCATGGTAAAACACAAACTCACATTTAAGAAAGAAAAAAAGATGCCCTGGAAATGGAGGTACAGACTGCTGCAAGCCTTCATGTGGGTGCTGGAAATTGAATTTGGATCTTTAAATTCACTGCATAGCCTAGGCAGGTCTCAAACTTACAATCCTGCCTCACCCTCTCCAATGCTTGGATCATTTTTTGTTTTGTTTAGTTTTGAGACAAAGTCAGTCTCTCTCTTTTCCTCTTCTTCCCTGGAGCTGACGACGGAACCCAGTGGTCTTGTGTTTCCTAGGCAAGTGCTCTACCACTGAGCTAAATCCCCAACCCCCAGCTGGAACTTGGTATTTGGACCAAGCTGGTCTTGAACCACAGAGCTCCACCTGATGTGCACCATCCAGCTAGAATCCTAGCTCTTAAGGATTCAGGAGCTCATCTTATCCTGAAGACCAGGCGTAAGTTCTTCTAAGAGAATTCCAAGAAATTCTGAGACTACAATGTTAAGTTTAAATGTTTCCTTTGAGCCGGGCGGTGGTGGTGCACGCCTTTAATCCCAGCACTCAGGAGGCAGAGACAGGCGGATCTCTGTGAGTTCGAGACCAGCCTGGTCTACAAGAGCTAGTTCCAGGACAGGCTCCAAAACCACAGAGAAACCCTATCTCGAAAAACAAAACAAAACAAAACAAAAAAATGTTTCCTTTGGTTTGTTTTTTTTTTTTCAGTTAAAGGACCTAGTATTAACAACATAAATACAAGAGTATAATTTTTTTCTCCTAGTGAAAAGTTTCCGCCTAGGGGTTTATTAGTAATATCCCAGGTACTCGGAGTAGCTGAGAACATGAAGTGTTAGCACAGTGCACAGCAGTTTCTGGGGCACTGTCTCAGCTAGGTTTCCAAGGCTGTGAAGAGACAACGTGATCACAGCAACTCTCATAAAGAAGACATTTAGGGGCTGGAGAGATGGCTCAGTGGTTAAGAGCATCTTCCAAAGGTCCTGAGTTCAATTCCCGGCAACCACATGGTGGCTCACAACCACCTGTAATGAGGTCTGGTGCCCTCTTCTGGCCTGCAGACATACACACAGACAGAATATTGTATACATAATAAATAAATATTAAAAAAAAGACATTTAATGGAGTTGGCTCGCTTACAGTTTCAGAGGTTTAGTCCACTATGATCATGAAGGGGAGCCTGGCAGCATGCAGGCAGACATGGTGCCGGAGCTGTGAGCCCTATATCTCACTCAGAGGCAACAGGAAGTCCACTGACTGTTACATTAAGTGAAGCTTGAGAAAAAGACCTCAAAGTCCACTCCCATAGTGACACAATTCCAACAGGTGTGGCCCATTCCACCTGGAGGTCTGGATTAAAGGCAGCCTCCTCCAACAAGGCCACACCTCCTAACAGTGTCACTCCCTGAGTTTACGAATACATTCAAACTACCACAGGCACTTAAGTTACTCTTCCTAGTTTCATATGCCTATAGCCTTACACTGCAGAAAGCTAGGAGAAAAGTTTCATGAATCATTTTATCTTTGCCAAACTGAGAGACGATGGTACCGCCCTATAGTATCATGTCCAGAACAGACTCCTTTATAGACCCCGACAACAAACCTGGTTTACCTGTTTGCTATCCCCTCCTCCAGGAGCTGTATAACTTGCGTGTAGTTGGTAACAACATGCTGAGATAGACCTGTCAGTTATGAGAGTAGAAGAGAAATCAGATGGAACTTCTGGTAAGCTAACCATTTCTGGTAGGCTTTTGTCATTCTTTTTATTTACCTTCTCCCCCATGTGAGCTGGGATCAGGCCCAGCACAGTGCACATACGCAGTCAAAGGACAGTTCACAGGAGCCACTTCTCTCCTTCCGCCATGTAGGCCCAGGAATGATAAGGACCCTAGGCCCAGTCAGTCATCTCTAAAGTTTTATTATGTTTCTCTCTGTGTCTCTTTGTTTTTTGATTTTTGAGAAAGGGTTTCCAAAAACAGCCCTAGCTGTACAACAGCTTCAGCTGTCCTAGAACTTGCTTTGTAGACCCGCCTGCCCCTGCCTCCTAGTGCTGGACTAAAGTTGTGCCCAAGCACACTTTCATTTATCATTCTTATATCACTTCATAAGCTAGAATCGAACAAACTAATAAATCTGTATTGAAACCTCTCATCAGGTGGTGTGATGGGTTCTAGAAAGGCCAGCGTATTTCCACAAAGATTAGCTTAGAATTCAAGAAGTGGCCACGCAAACCACAAAAAAATTCCTCACAGCTTTACTATGGAAGTTATAAGAAATCTCCTCCTCCTCACTTATTATTGTTGGCCCTCACAAAATTCCCGACAGGAAGGTGATATTTTATCCACAAGGTGGCAGACTCAGTTTGGCATACAAAATGTCTCTCTCCTTTTACAGTTTACAATATAAAAGTACACTGTACACTATACAACACATTACAACCAAATGCCTCAGAAGTCGAGGCCAAACAAAAATGGTGAGCAAATTGGAGCAGCAGTGAGGGTGTGCTCTGTGGATGCAGCAAGGATAGGATGCGCCGTTACAGAACGGGAAGGCATGAGACAAGTGGAAGGGTCCTAAGGACATGAAGAAAACCTTTATGGAAACTTTGAGCTAGAGAGCCTCTGCAGACTATCAGAGACTTAGGAACAAGACAATGCCATGGGTCTGTTGCCTACTGCTAAATAAATGCCTAAAAAGACTGACAAATTCATCTGAATAGTGACTGGATTGCAGCAGGGTGGCTGCAATCGATTTTCTTAGCAACTTTCCAGGAGTGAAGACAAGGGCTGTAGCCCACAACAAACACAAATATCCCCCTCCAATTTTTGTTTCTTACTTTTTCAAACAGGATCTTGCTCTACCCAGGTTGTTCTGTAACTCAGGACGATCCTCTTGCCTCAGTATCCTGAGTGCAGGTATTATAGACATAATGGCTGCTTAGACATTCACTTACAGGAAGAAACCCAAAGGTCTACAAAGTAGAGTTGGAAGTAAATAAGCCTTTGCGAAGACTGCAGCTAAGCTTCAGTCTCACTACTTCCTAATCCCTCATGTTCATAGGAACTTAGTATAAAAAAGAGAGATACCAGTTCCTAAGAACAGGTTTACAAATACTGTCTGGCACAAATCTTATTAGCAAACCAAGCATACATGTAGACCTGGGAATACAAATGAAAGATATCCAGGAAATATGGAGACGCTGGAATTACCAGGCAGATTTTAAAGCAACTCTGCCTGGTATTTTCTTTTCTTTTCTTTTCTTTTTTTTTTTTTTTTTTGGTTTTTCGAGACAGGGTTTCTCTGTGGTTTTGGTTCCTGTCCTGGAACTAGCTCTGTGGACCAGGCTGGTCTCGAACTCACAGAGATCCGCCTGCCTCTGCCTCCCGAGTGCTGGGATTAAAGGCGTGCGCCACCACGCCTGGTATTTTCAAGGACTTAACAGACAAGATAGTACAATTCCAGAGGAAACTGGGAAAGAATCAAGTGGAGGTATGCTGAGCTTTCCTTCCTATTTCTGGAGAGGAGGGAGGGGAGGAAGGGGAGAGAGAAAAACAGGAGGAATAGGAAGGAGAGGGGCAAGGAACAGTTTGAAATGTGGAATATGTAACACTGATATATCCACTTGACAGTAACCATATAGTGGCTCACAACCATCTGTAACGAGATTTGGTGCCCTCTTCTGGCCTGTAGGGATACATGCAGGCAGAACACTGAATACATAATAAATAAATCTTTTTTTTAAAAAAAAAAAAAAAGTGTGTAGCACAACTGCCCAGCTCCAGGAGTCTTTTCTTTCTTTCTTTTTTGTTGTTTTTTTTTTGCTTTGTTTTTGTTCTTCAAGACAGAGTTTCTCTGTGTATCAGCTCTGGCTGTCCTGGAACTCATTCTGTAGATCAAGTTGGCCTCAAACTCAGAGATCTGCCTGCCTCTGCCCCTGGCTCCAGGATCTTTCAATCACTGTATCTAGGTACTTATTTATAATCCTTTATTACAATGTGTAATTGTTTGTCTTATGACACTTCCACCAGACTTTAAGCTTGGCCGTGAAGGCAGAGCCATGTCATGTCAGCTTATCAGTATACATCCAATGTCCAGTACAGTAAGCAGCACACAGAATCCAATCATTGCACAGGCTGAGTAAATGATGAACATTAGGAGAACTTCTACACCTCAGTTGGATCTCCAATTTCCAGGGAAGAGGAGCTCACCTTGGACATAGGGTCCCATCTCTGGGTGCTCCCTGACCCTCAAGCTATAGGACTTATTTTGACTGGATTGCTTCAAAAGATCTCTCACCCGTTCATTGTAGATCTCCAGGAAGCTAGAGACACAGAAAAAAAGGGAAGACAGTTAGACTGTGAAGGAAGAAAGAAAAACAATGGGTTGAGAATCAAAAGGTTCTGGATTCTTGTTCTGGCTCTGATCAACTTAAGACCTCAATCAAGCCAGGGTCTCCCTTATGTGTCTTTCTACAAGTGCAAAGCAAGGTTCTGACCTCTGGCTACCACTATTTCCCCATTTCTAACATCAGTGCCAATTTGAGATTTACTTTCAACAGGCTATTTTAACATAGTCTAAATGGCTTTCAAATGTGATCCTTCTGTTGTTCTGGGTTTTGTTTGTTTTATAATATTTGTATGGGGGACGCATATGTGAGTGCTGGTGCTCTCAGAGGCCAGAATGAGTCCATCCCCTAGACTAGATTATGAACCACCAGACACGAATGCTGGAAATCAAGCTTGGCTTCTCTGCAGAAGCAGTATGCACTTGTGATTTGAATGAGAAATTTCCCCCATAGAATCAGGCATTTAAATACTTGGTCTCTAGTTAGTGGCACTATTTGAGAAAGGTATAGATGGTGGTTGTGGTTTGAATGAGAATGGCCCCCATACACCATGGGCTCATATATTTGAATGCTTCGTCCTTAGTTGGTTGAACTGTTTCTGAGGCACTATGAGGTGGAAGTGTCAGTTGGGGGAGGCTGCGAAGTTTCAAAAGCGCACACTAGCCATTCCCGGTTAGCCTCTCTGCCTAATGCTTGTGGATCAAGATGTAAGCTCTCCAGTATTCCTCTCACCATGTTCCCTGCTATGGTGGTTATGGCCTCGAACCCCTGGCACCATGGATGTCACATCAAATGCTTCCTTTTGTAGTCACCTTGGTCATAGTGTCCTCTTGCAGCAATTGAAAAGTAACTAAGACAGTGAGCAGAACAGCCTTACTGGAAGATGTGTGTCACTAGGGCAGGCTTTGAGATTAAAATCCTCCTGACAGTCCCCACTAGTTCTCTCAGCTTCATGATTATGGTTTAAGATATGAGCTCTCAGCTTCCTGTTCCTGCTTTTTGTCACCTTGCTGTACCCACCATTATATATCCTAACCTTGTGGAACCCTAAGTCCAAATAAACTCTTTCTTCTATCAGTCGCTTTGGTCTTGGTGTTTTATCAAAGCAACAGGAAAGGAACTAAAATAGCATTTTTTTAGTTAATTTTTTTAAAACTTAATTAACATTTTTTCCATTTATTTTACAAGTCTCTTGCCAACCCTAAGGTGGCTCCCTTAACTAAGAATTGTGCTTCCGTGCTCCCCTATCCAACCTTCCTTTATCCCAATCATCCTTTTTCCCCAAGTTCCCCCCATCTTCCCCTTCTTCCTTTTCTCTCCCCATCTCCCCTTACCCCCATCCCACCCCACCCCCAAGATCCCAATTTTCTCCCCGGCAATTTTGTCTACTTCCCATAGCCAAGAGGATAACTATATGTTTTTCCTTGGGTTCACCTTCTTACTTAGCTTCTTTAGGTTCACCAATTGTAGACTCCGTGACCCTTATTTATAGCTAGAAACCAATTATGAGTGAGTACATCCCATGTTCATCTTTTTGGGTCTGGGTTACCTCACTCAGTATAGTGTTTTCTATTTCCATCCATTTGCATGCAAAATTCGAGAAGTCATTGTTTTTTACCACAGCGTAGTACTCTAATGTGTAGATATTCCACACTTTCTTCATCCATTCTTCCAATGAAGGGCATCTAGGTTGTTTCCAGGTTCTGGTTATTACAAATAATACTGCTATGAACATAGTTGAACAAATGCTCTTGTCATATGATAGGGCATCTCTTGGGTATATTCCCAGGAGTGGTATTGCTGGGTCCAGGGGTAGGTTGATCCCAAATTTCCTGAGAAACCGAAACACTGATTTCCAAAGTGGTTGCACAAGATTGCATTCCCACCAGCAATGGATGAGGGTACCCCTTCCTCCACAGCCTCTCCAGCAAAGGCTATCATTGGAGTTTTTTATTTTAGCCATTCTGACAGGTGTAAGATGATATCTCAAAGTTGTTTTGATTTGCATTTCCCTGATCGCTAAGGAGGTTGAGCATGACCTTAAGTGTCTTTTGGCCATTTGAAATTCTGTTGAGAATTCTCTGTTCAGTTCAGTGCCCCATTTTTTAATTGGGTTAATTAGCATTTTAAAGTCTAGTTTCCTGAGTTCTCTATATATTTTGGAGAGCAGACCTTTGTCTGTTGCGGGGTTGGTGAAGATCTTCTCCCAGTCAGTAGGTTGCCTTTTTGTCTTGGTGACAGTGTCCTTTGCTTTACAGAGCTTCTCAGTTTTAGTAGGTCCCATTTATTCAATGTTGCCCTTAATGTCTATGCTGCTAGGGTTATACATAGGAAGCGATCTCCTGTGCCCATCTGTTGTAGGGTACTTCCCACTTTCTCTTCTATCAGGTTCAATGTGTTCAGACTGATATTGAGGTCTTTAATCCATTTGGACTTGAGTTTTGTACATGGTGATAGATATGGATCTATTTTCATCTTCTACAGGTTGACATCCAGTTATGCCAGCACCATTTGTTGAATATCAATTACAGTTTTCCCTCCCTTCTCTCCTTCTCTCCTGTGCATCATGTCCCTTCCTCCTTCCATCCCCCCTTCCCCATCCACTCCTCCTCTGCCTCCATTCAGAAAGGTGCAGGCCCCATGGGCTTGAACAAAGCAGGGCACATCAAGTTGAGGCAGGACTGAGCTCCTCCATCTGCATCAAGGCTGGTTGAAGAAATCCAGCATGGGAAACAGATTCCCAAAAGCCATCTAAGCATCAAGGACAGGTCCTGGTCTCACTGCTAGGAGCTTTACAAATAGACCAAAGAACTAGGATATTTAGGGGTCTGGAGCTTGAGTTCTTACCTTACTTTTATGCTGCGGGAAGAAGGCAGTGAGGCACAGTCATCTTTCCTGATGAAGAGAGCCTGCACAAAATCAGAGGGTCAGATTTCCCTGAAGGGAGCTGACATAGGAAACTTACTCTGAAAGTACATCATCAGAGAGAGTCTATACCTCACATATCCGTGGGGTCAGCCCAACAGAAGCCTGGATGACAGAAAAAGAAAAACATTATTGTTCACTCTGGGCAATGCTCCTGCTGCCCTCCTCTTACCTCCAAACACCCGGGATCCTGGACCCCCCCAAACACAGAGGAGGGGTGTGTGGGCTTAGTGCTAGCTAGCCACTATAGAAGGACGTATAAAACTTGAGGCTGGCACTATCAAGAGATGATGGAGGAAGGTCATTGGCTAATAAAGGAACTGCCTTGGCCCATTTTATTGGTTAGGACGTAGGTAGGTGGTGTAAACAGAACAGAATGCCAGGAGGAAGAGGAAGTGAGCTCAGTCTCCACAGCTCTCCTCTCTCTGGAGCAGACGCCTGAGAGAGACGCCATGCCCCGCTCCCGGGATGAAGCTCTGACCCAGGATGGACATAGGCTAGAATTTTCCTGGTAAGCGCACCTTGGGGTGCCATACACAGATGATTAGAAATGGGCTAAATTAATATGTGAGAATTAGCCTAGAAGAGAATGGGCCAAGCAGTGTTTAAATGAATACAGTTTGTGTGTTGTTATTTCGGAGCATAAGCTAGCCGGGCAGGCGGCCGGGGTGCTGGGAACGCAGCCCCGCCGCCCATATTACTACAAAGAGACACAGATGAGAGGCGGATTATCGCCATAAGATAGATAGGAGAAGCTGGCAAACTTAGACATGTGCTTTCCTGCAATGAACTTTATCATTTTCCACCACTAATGTGGTCTCTTCTAGATCCCTACTGTGTCTAGATCCCTAGATAGAGAAGCACACACAAACACCCTCTGCAAAACTGCAAAAATCCAAAGAAGTAGGTATTTCCTCTATCTCATAACCAGAGGCTTAAGGTTTTATCCCCTTTGACCTAGTAGTATTTTTTTTTTAATTTCAAATGTCTGAAACCACACTAACCACAGACAAAGGAAACAGTGAGCTGTACCCAGAGAAGTGGGCTATTTTTTCAGATTGTTTCTATACAATGTTATTTGTCAACCAGTGCCCAGGTCATCTCACTAGCATACTTCTGTATCTTCTATGTTTGTTTGTTTTGTTTTGTTTTTTCGAGACAGGGTTTCTGGAGCCTGTCCTGGAACTAGCTCTTGTAGACCAGGCTAGCCTCAAATTCACAGAGATCCACTTGTCTCCACCTTCAGAGTTCTGGGATTAAAGGCTTGCACCACCACTGCCTGGCTAGAAAGGGTATTCTTAAGGAATGCTATCCCCTTAATTTTATTTTTATTGCTGTTGTCTGTTTTGAGACAGAGTCTCAGTGTGTATCCCTGGATGGCCTGGAACTCATAAAGATTTGCCTTGCCTCTACTACCTTCAAAGATTAAAGGGATTAAAGGCATGTGCCACCATACCTGGCATTATCCCCTCAATTTTCTGTGATTATTGCATTATACTCTACATTTTTAAAAGCCCCCAGCAAAGCTACATCTCTTGCTTTCTTCTAATATACATAGCTTTGAAAGCTGAACACAGCATTCTTATCCCTGTATAGCACTAAAATGCAGTCCAGGTTTAACCCCAGTCAAATTGTGAAGCTTTATGTGATAAACCGTAATACATATATCCAGTGGGACCAACAAGGACTCATTGTCAAAGGGAATCATGAAAGTCTAGTTTTTCAAAGTTTCACAAAGAGAGACTAATTATACAAACTTTACTGTTCAGGTAAACTAGTGAAATGCCATTGTTAAGTATAGGAGAGGGTCACACGCATGCCTTTAATCCCTTTAATATTGATTATGGAGGTCATGTTCCTTATCACAGTGGTAAGGACAATGTAAGATACAGGTTTGCTGTGACATTAGGAAGATAGTTCACTCCAGTGCTGACACTTACTGGAGTCCCCAGCATGGTATATGTCTTCCCAGAGCCCGTCTGCCCATAGGCAAAGAGGCATATGTTGTAACCTTGGGCAGCTCCAGACAGTACTTCAGTACCCAAGTCCTGGAACACCTGTAACAACAAAAGTAGAAAGCTTATTGATCCATCTTCCCACAGCACATTTAAAAAATACATTAAATCTAAAAAAAAATAAAATTAAAATATTGGGACTAGAGAGATAGCTCAGCGGTTGAGTGAGGTAACCCAGACCCAAAAAGATGAACATGGGATGTACTCACTCATAATTGATTTCTAGCCATAAATAAGGGTCACAGAGTCTACAATTGGTGAACTTAAAGAAGCTAAGTAAGAAGAACCTTAATCTGGTGATGGATGGAGATAGAGACAGAGATCCACACTGGAGCACTGGACTGAGCTCCCAAGGTCCCAATGAGGAGCAGAAGGAGGGAGAACATGAGCAAAGAAGTCGGGACCACGAGGGGTGCACCCACCCACTGAGACAGTGGAGCTGATTTATTGAGAGCTCACCAAGGCCAGCTGGACTGTGACTGAAAAAGCATGGGATAAAACCGGACTCTCTGAACATGGCGAACAATGAGGGCTGATGAGAAGCCAAGGACAATGGCACGGGGTTTTGATCCTACTTAATGTGCTGACTTTGTGGGAACCTAGCCAGTTTGGATTTTCACCTTCCTAGATATGGACGGAGGGGGGAGGACCTAGGACTTACCACAGGGCAGGGAACCCTGACTGCTCTTTGGACTGGAGAGGGAGGGGGAGAGGAGTGGGGGGAGGGGGAGAAGGGTGGGAGGAGGGGGAGAAGGTGGGAGGAGGGGGAGAGAAATGGGAGGCTGGGAGGAGGCTGAAACTTGTTTTTTTTCCTTTTCTCAATAAAAAAAAAAAAAAGAGCACTGGACCTCAGGTTCAATTTCCAGTACCCACATGGCAGCTCACACCTGAACTAGTCATTCATAAGAATCACTTCAGCTTCACAAGAAAAGATTTTAAGGGAAAATTCAAATTGCTCAAATATTCTTAGGTACCTACTGAGTACTAGCCTCATTTTTTGTTTGTTTTAAAATACGTTTCCTAGTCCTTTTTGTTTTCTTTTTTTCCTCAAGACAGGGTTTCACTGTGTAGCTCTGGCTGTCTTGGAACTTGATTTGTAGACCACTGCCCAGTGCTAGTCCTTTTAAAAAGGATTTATTTTCATTATCTGCGTGTAGGTGCATGTAGTATGTGGAGTATGTGCACACATGTGTGAGTGCCTGGTGAAGCCAGAAGAGAGCATCAGAGTCCATGGAACATAAGCTACAGGCAGTAATGGCTACTTGGTACAGGCACTAGAAACCAAACTTAGGTCATCTAAAAGAGCAGTAAGTATCTCAAATGGCTGAGCAGTATCTCAGCCCCAGTGTTCTGTAGTCTAACACAAAAGAGCCTAAGGCAGGACAAAGATAAAAAGGCAAAAACCTGCTCTTTCTGATACACAGAGAAATGCTCACTAAGGCTAATGAGGTGGTTACAGTGAAACACTGCTCAAGAAGGTGACTCATGGTCTGAAGACCCCACAGGACCAGCTAGAAGTTAGAGAGCGCTGTCCCTGACAGTCGCTCCTCTGACTGCTCCTGATAACTGGCAGGTTCTGCTGGACAATTGTTTCATCTGTGGTCAGGTTTTGTGACTAATTCAGAAACCACCAGTAATCCTCATGTGACAACTACACTTTAAGTTTCCTGAAATTTCAACTGAACTCTGCCAGGCAGCATCCAAACACTCTTGACCACTGATGCTGGTCTTGGTGGGAAGCAGAACCCAGTTTTCCACCTCGGAGCCCTTTCACTTGCTGGCAGCTGGAACAATGACACACACAAGGAGGCTGCCAAGCAGGTAGACAGTCCCATTTGACTTCCCGAAGAAAGACACAAAAGCAGAACAGCAGATGACAAGTTCTCCAGGAGTGCCCAGCACAGCGGCGGAAGTGTCAACTATGGCGCTCCTGCCAGCCTACTCTGTGTGGCACTGCCTGCGATTCCTGCTGCCGAGGGGGCCCCAGTGCTTTCCTGATTATTTTATCGACTTCCCTTTCACTTCTGTGAAACATCTAGTATGGTTCCAAATTGTGGTGTGCATCTAGTCTTCTACTTCAAAGTTGGTGATCCTAGGCAAGTTCCTTGCATTTTGTAAACTCCAGTTTCTCCAGCTGTAAGATGTCTATCACACAGACTGCTGTAGAGACTGCTGTCACAGGCGAAACTGGGGGCAACCAGGTAAAGACAGGAGCTAAGTCAAGACTACATTGTTCCGTATTCCAGCAGCTGCACTTAGGCTTCTTGGCAGTGATTGCTTCTGTTTGCTTTTTAATGCATCCATGGTCTAAGCAAAAGGCCAAAAGAACCCAGGGTGCTGTGAAGACTTGAGCTCTGTTCAAGAGAGATCCTTCCCATGGTCTCTCTTGTAGCTCTCTCTAGTCACACAAACTATGTTAACAAAGTTAAAAATTGGGAGAGGTCTTGCTTGCCTCCTAAAGTCTGGCCAGGTGACATTCCTTGAGTCTGAAGAAGCAATATATTTTGCTGCATTAGACTAGATGAGTTGACTACCATTCATTCACTATTTGAAATATCCTCCACACACTCCAGCTTCCTGGGGCAGGAGGTGAGAACAGAGGTGGAAACAGTGAAGGGCCACATCTAAATCTAAACTTTATTTCTGCCCTGTTGCAGAATTGTTCATACTACCACTCTGCTGTGGCAATAAGGTTTACCTTGTATTTGAGGCCAGAGCTAGCTAATAGCTGACCAAAATTAGCCATAGAGGTTTTGGAGGACTGAGGATATATAGAGAGACATGGGAAGTAGTAGAGAGATGCTTAGAAAGATGTGTGTTCTTTGGATTAAGGAAGGAGAAAGAAAGGAGGTCACTAGTTACTTCTTTGCCTCTTCTCTGATCAATCTTCTGACTCGGGAGTTTTTATTAATAATAGAATAATTTAGGTAATCGTTACTACCCACAGTTTATGCTCAGCTGAGCAGAGTAAAGAGAGAGAAAAAACCAAAGATTGTTACTTCGTTCATGTCCTTATCCAAATGCCTATGTGTTCTCTGAAAGTACCACTGAAGAAAGCACTATAGCTGATGATAGAAGAATATCAACAGGATCAGGGCTCCAGTCAAGAATGATGGAGACTAAGACACAGTACCACAGCTGGGCGGTGTTGGCACACACCTTTAATCCCAGCACTTGGGAGACAGAGGTAGGTGGATCCCTGTGAGTTCAAAGCCAGCCTGGTCTACAAGCACTAGTTCCAGGACAGGCTCCAAAGCTACAGGGATGCCCTATCTAGAAAAACCAACAAAAAGATACAGTACCCACTCCTCAACAGCTGGTAGGCTTAGCTCACCAGATGATCCTGGAAAACCCACAACCTTAGAAAGAGGAAAACAGGGAGATAACACATGTTCCACTCCATCCACGTTAACACAATGAGACATAAAATAGCTCACTATTGCCGGTGGCCATGTCAGGGGAGCAGCGGGTGACAATTGGGGTTTGAGGTGTCAGCCCATCAGTAGGAGACTCTCTGGTGGGTGAGCTCAGTTAGGCAAGGCCCTGAGACCACAGACTCTAGGATCTCTTTTGATTCTGTTGTGCCTTTACATGTTGCTGTTGCTATCTTTCTCTGGTGTGAATCGGGTGTGGGGAGATGCCCTACTGCCTGTAATGTAATGTGTTTATCTCATGGAAACATCCTGCTCACTGGACATTTTTACCTGTAGACTATAATAAAAAATGACTTCTCTCTAACAAATACTGTTTAATTGATGATGATGATAATAATAATGTTATATTATACAATATGTTATATAATAATATTAAAAATACAGAGTTTTGATAATAAAAGTAACTACAAGGAAACGTCACACAGCAGGGGTCTATGTAAGGGGTCACTTAAGGAGCTGCCTAGGTCATAGCTCAAGTTAATGATTAAGAGAAACAGTTGAGTCCCAGGAACCAGGCTGGCTCAAATTCCTTTAATCTTAGAGCTGAAAGACTCTAATGCCAAAAGACATAGTCACGGGTCTCGGTGTGCATTATTAGCTGAAACAAAACGTTTTTACCTGTACTCTGTAAGAAATTTAGCACAGTCACTGTATGGGGTAGATATATTGGCTTGAAGAGCCGTATTTCAGAAATACCTTCATCTTGAAGAATCCCTGTAGAAAACAGTGAATGTTTTGCCAAGGGGTTCTGTGGCCATCCTATGACTTTGGTCACAAGACACCTCAGGTACATCTGAGGCTCTTGTATTATTGTGTACTGCACACAATGCACAGTAAATGACTAGAATCATGGAGGCATGTGATGGTCTTCAGTAAGACATGCAGATTTAGATTAGGGACCTTGATATGAGGAAACACTCTGTATCACAATCAATAGATACGCCTTTGTATGGCTGTTTGGGGTCCAGTCCAAGCACAGTCCACTCCAGTTCAGTCTATCAGAAGAAGCTGAACCTTCCTGCTGCTACATGGGCCTTAAAAAATACAGAAGAATAAAGAAGGAAATCATCAAGAGAGTGTGTGAGTGTCTTTTTCCTTAATACCCTCAGACAGAAATGTCTAATGCTGTGAATTGCCTTTGAACCCTGTGCTGCTTGGAGGCTGGTCCCCCAGGCAGCAATACTATAGTGGCATTTCATTTGTATTTTAATAAATAAAGCTTTGCCAGAAGACTAGAGAGTAAAACAGCCTCACTGTTCAGCCTTACACACACCTTTAATCTCAGTAGCCACACTAGTTGCAATAGAAACTGGTTGCTGCATGTCTTTAATCCCAGTGGTGCATGCTCTTAATCCCGGCCCTAGGGAGGATTATAAAGTGGGAGGAGACAGCTCTCAGACACAGTCTCATTCTGAGATTCCTGGAGGCAGGATCGCCATTTTTGGATGGAGGTCAAAGTAAGAGCCAGTAGCTGGCTGTTTTGCTTTTTGGGTCTTCAGGTTGAACCCCAATTTCTCTGAGTTTTTATTAATTGTGCCTCACAATATGACATCATAGTCTAAGAGTTAAGAGAAGTCATTGAACTACAGTCTGCCGCAGACACCAATT